GAGTAACTGTAGTAGTATGCGAAAAGAGCACATTCTTGTGTATATTTAGACCAATCATATATCACGTAACAAAGAAAATAACCAACAGCATTTAATTAATTATTTGCTAAGAGAAAAGGGGCTTAAAAAAAAAGGGAAACTTACAGAATAATTATATATATAGAAAAAGGTTTAATAAGAAAAGTTAACTTTACCTTTTCCAAACTTTGCGCTACTTTTAAGTTAATATCCAGAAGCATTACTATAACACGAGAAAGCTAATAATAATAATAATAATAATAATAATAATAATAATAATAATAATAATAATAATAATAATAATAATAATAATAATAATAATAATAATAATAATAATAATAATAATAATAATAATAATAATAATAATAATAATAATAATAATAATAATAATAATAATAGTACTAATTTAATTTTCTCAGTAGGAGCTTCGATTAAACTGAACAAAAGAGATAAAAATAATTTGTTGAGCTCCTCGAAAGTCATTCTAGATATTAATAAAAGTTACAAAGCTTATATTAAAAGTTTTTTTAATATATTGATATATAGAAAAATAGAATATAAAAATAATAATAAAAGTTTTAGAGTACAAAGAAAATACGAAATTTTTTAAGTTAAGAAAAAAAGCGATTGTTAAGATTAATTATAATGTTTAATAATTTTATATAAACAATAAAATTATATAATAAATTATATATTAAAAGTAAAATATACAAAATTTTAAAAAAATGAAAGCCAAAAAGTTATTATTATAATAATATATATTTAACTATAGAGTGACCAAAAGTTTCTTTATAGTTGTATACTTGAACTCTTTTTAGAGATTTAAACTGCCTTCCATAGTAAAAATAAAGAAACTGAATAAATATTTCCTAAAGCTACAGCTTAATCGTGTCCAATACCTGCAACCACGCGCCAATATGTGACACAATATTTCCTTTATTCGGTTTATACCAATCACACTCATGAGCCTTTTCAGTAGAAAATAACACAATTGATGTCGATATTGCCACAAATGGAAAAAACTATGTTTATTTGGTACAATAACTTCGAGTGGAGAAATTTAAATAAATAAATGGCCAGCTGTCATAATAGCAGAAATAAGCCACATGGTGAATGCTTGAAGCTTCACATGGTATACATTTGTTTCAAATATATAACACGATTGGTGCTGATATTACCATTTATTTTGGTAGGTTTAACCCCAAATAAGTGTTTAATGCGTAAAAATGGACAAATCCGATTCAGTTAAGTTTAGTAGTCTAAAAATTTAGAATAAGGTATAACCAAAAATGGAAGGGATAAAAAATATATTGAATACCTTTGATCAATTTTATATACAAAAAAAATTAATATGTATTTTAATATTATATATAATATTTTTATAATCAATAAAAAAAAACTTTGAGACTCCAACTTTTCAAAGATAGTAACAAGTTCTTAATAAATACTATAATAAAAAATTAAAAAAGCTCAAAATATAATTTCTATAATTCTGAAGTTCAATATTAAGTAAATTTTGTTATATTATATTTATAATAAATAATTTAATATGAAACCTTTCAAATATAATAAGGAGACGCTGCTTATCAATAAAAATTTTAAATAAATTCAAAGCAACACTGTAAGAACCTGAACTTATTAGAAAATAAATATAATATTTTTAAATAGGAAATATGTAATAATCGTAAATATATATGAATAATAATAATAGCTGGAAAACAAAACCAAAGTCGTATGGCCCGCGAAATATATTAATAATTATTGACAACGAACGCCTCGTGTTAGGCTCAGTAAACAGCTATGATTTGCGAAAAGGTAAAAAAGTACATATAAGTATGAAGTAAAAAGAAAATGTTAATCGAAAAATAAAAAGTAATAGTAAAAAAAAATTAAAAAAATTTTATAATAAAAAAATAAAAATATACTAAAAAAATTAACAAAGAAAGATAAAAGTTTTCAGATCTTTGAAGCAATAATAAAGTATTATGAGGCTATAAAATTAGTAAAGTGTATAAAAGTTCAATTAAAGTGTTAATATTAATAAAGATAATAATACATATAAAGAAATCATTATAAAAATATTTTTACTATGAAGATAATAAATTTTTTATAACATAAAGATTAATAATAGTAAAAAAATCTCAATACTTTAAAAATGAATAAGTTAGCAATAAATATTTAGACCTCTTCTAAAACAAAATCTCTTTTATAATATTAAACACAAAAATTCTTAATTATAAAATTTTTGATTAAATTAATAATTAAAAGAAATAGCATTCTTATTAGTTACATTTTTAACAAATAATGCAACTAGACGAAAGCAAACAACGCTGCTAGTAACAGCAGTAAAAGTTTTAGAATATGTAAAGATTCTACGCGCCAAAGTCAGTTAGCTAAAAAAAATGCGAGTCCCCAACAATTTTTCTATTTTCAAACTTTTTAACCAATCATAAAAGGTTTATATCAAAGTACTCGTTCACTTTAACAGGCATTAAGCATGCTATCCCACGTGGCTTACACATAAGTAAAATTTTCTAGTTCAAAACAAATTCTTTTTTTAATGATAACTTTAAATATATAATAATGACAATAAAAGTACTACACTATCGGTGAAATGAGCGTCTTCTATTAACACTTCAGAAAGAAGTAAAGCGCTCAACATTTCGTAGGGATTTTTATTTTGTATAAGAAAAAGAAGCCCTCTTCGAAAATGTTTCAAATTATAATTATTTTGAATCCATTTCTATAAATTAAAATATATATTAAACCTCTGAGCAATAATTAAATTATTTATTAGAATATTTATCTGGATGCAATATAATTTTATAAAATAAAATACTTAATAAATTTAAGAAAATTTGTAATACTTTAATTTCTGAAAGTTGAAGCAGGGGACAAAATATTTTTAAAAACCCACAAGAAACTTCCTTTTTGTTAATGCTGTTATATTAGTTGACTTATAAAATTAAAAAAAAAAAGAAAAATTTATATAAAAATACATCAGAGTTATCAAGTGCTGAAGAAAATGTTGAATTTCGGAGGACAATGTCTTTATTTCAGCTTCATATATTAGTTTTTGAATGAAAAGTAGTTTCTAATCCGTAATTTAAAGGAAAAATATTATTCAATATTTTAAAAAAGCGTAAAAACGACAAAAAAGGAAAATTTTAAATCAGAAAGGATTTCTTTATTAAAATAAAATATGATCGTAGGAAAAACTAATTACAAAAATAAAATTTTAAATAGAAACTTTCACGCTAGTAACAGGGAACTTGAGTAAAAAAAAAATTACAAATAAATATTACTTAACAATATAAAAGCTTTTATAATAAAACTTACATACATAAAAAATTAATAAATTGTATTAAAAGGTTATATCCAACAAAATTAACCTTTTCATAAGTTTGAGGATTATTAGACTTATTTAACATTATAGAGTTTAGGACCAAAGATATAAAGTTATTGCCGACCAATAGAGACTTAAATTTTTTTAATTCAACTAAAAATAAAATTGTATAATTAAAAAAAAAATAAAATCTGTAAAGATGAAACCTAATATAAGCAAGAAATCGTAAATGTTACTTTCGTAGACTTTAAAATTTTTTGAAAGAATTGCGATTATTTGAGTGATCTCAAAATCCAGATTCTCTATCTCCCAAACTTTGCAAGAAAAGTTCTACTTGTAAAAAAAAAGTTTTATCTATAAAGCAAAAAAAAAAACTAAATAATACTTACAAAATACTTTTTTTTTTAAAAAAAAAAAAGAAACTAGATATATTTATAAAACGAGGATTTAACCAAAAATAAATTTGAAATTAAAAAGAAAACCTTTAACTCTGTACAAACCGCTTCGATGTTACCAGTTTGCAAACTATTATATAAAGAACCGATGATCTTTGAAGTGCTGGTCGTCATATTTGTACACAATTGTTAACTATTGCGAAGTGATAAGTAAAGCGCCCTCCCTTCTAACACATGATGCAAAGAGAAGAGGAAAACATTGTACACTGTGACCCGTTTTTTAAGTTCTGTTTTCCGTTTTTTATAAGATTATATAAAAAATAAGTACTTATTAATAAATTAAACTTATTTAATGCTTAATAATATAATACTATAATATACTTTCTTCTTGCGCTCTTAGGATGAATGCAACTAATAAAATAATGTTTATACATTAAAGGTTTTCATTATTATTAAATTTAAAAGTGCATATATATATGATAGAATGTATTTCTTAACTCTTTAATAATATTGTAACCGAAAAAAATTAATTTTCTATTCCAATAAGCCCTAGGTGTACTCAAATCATACTAAGCACATACTCTTTTAAAAAAGTATTTACTAGATACCACTAAATTTTATAACTACTATCACTTTTTTTAAACTCATTGCCTCAAATTTATAAAAAATTATAAAATTGCTACCAGTAAGGTTTTAAAACTAATGTGTGCCGCTATAGCAATTTAGGATAAGTAAATGAAGATATATGAACTCTTATTAGATTGTCCATTAACCCTTAACGGGCAGAGTCGTACTTAAGTTTATAATAATAATTGACTTAACTTATTATTTTACACTTTAACATCTTTTAATTAATTCAAACAATTATTACTTAGTAACTTTTTAGAGGCTTTTATTAACTACACAAATATTCATTTTTATAGTAATTAGGAATCCTCTCAGCGAAGTGCAAGCATATGGCTTAATATAAACCAACCAACCGACCGTTTATAAAAAAATCACAAATGAAAGCCGTTTACTTCCAACTATTAATTTAACTATTGTTTTGCCTGTGGGAATAGAAGAGGCTAAGTTTTATTAAATTGCCATAAGCAGTTTTTTTATGGTTTATATAATTATGATAAGATATGAACTGTTATCCTTGCCTTATTGTAGATATATTGGTGTTTCTGTATTTTCGAGAAGTTAATTTAGTTATAAGTTTTTGAATTTTTAGATAATTGGATAACTGAACGAAATGTCTGACGAAATTGATTCTGGAGTTTTGGAAGTTACTTTAAATTTAGAGGATTCTAAGTAAAAAAATGTTCTATAACATCTATTCCTATATTAATAGCATTTTTATATATAAGTGCCTTAAGAGAGAAACTAGGTTTAAAGCCTCTAAATAATAAACCTCCTGATCAAAGTAAAAAAGAATATGATGCTTGGAAAAAAGAAAAAGAATTGGGTCTATCCTTTTCTAATTTTCAATTTATTATATAAAATATTTTATTTTAAAGCTGAGAAGGATAAAGAAGTTGAAAAACTCATGGAGAAAATTTTTGAGTCTCTATTTTTATTATAACTTGATTTACTTCTATACGTTTACTTTTTCAAACTTAATATTTATATCATTATTATTATTATATCAAATGTTGTTATTTTTCTGTATCTATTATATATTAATATAGATCTAGAGAAAAGAGAGAATTAACAAAGAAATTTGAAAGTATGAAAAGTATTGGAGATGTTGAAAATTTAGCTGAATATGAGTATATAATTTTTTAAACTTTCTTGATATAATACGAAAATTTTAAAAAATTTACTTACCAATTTTTTTACTAAGAAAATTTCCACCTAATTTATTTAATTTTTCTTTTAAACGTTTTATTAAAAATAATTAAAAGAAATTATAAATTTTTTTTAAAAAAAGGTTTTTTGTTTATATATAATTTATTTACTTTATTTTATTTTTCTTTTTATATTACGAATATATCGACAAGATTTTTTTTATTACACATTTTGTTTAAAGAGTTATTTAATAATCATATTGCCTTAACATGTATAATGTTATTATACTATGTAAAACTTAATCATTAAGTTTACATTATTATTTTAATAGTTGAACTTTAATATGATTGACGTCCTTTTATAAATTCCTATTTTTAAAAAAATATAATAATTTAATTTTTTTTATTTTTATACAAGTATTGGACAATTTATGCTATTTTCTTATAATTTTTTAGCGTTTGAGGGAGTATAGTAATATGTAGCACAACTTTTTTTTGGATCTTTTTTAATAGTAAAGATTTTACTAACTAACATGAAAAATCATCAAATATTTTGTTTATATAAAATTATTATTGTGTTGCTTATTAATTATTAATAGTAGTCGTGCAAATTTAGTTATAAGCCTTTCCTTTTTTATTAATTTTCGTATGAGAAGCAAATCTAATTTTTCATGCAAAGTTTTCTGTATTAAAGTAATTTTTATTTCACTTTTTTTCGCTAATAATGCTGTTTGCCTCTTATTTTGATAAAAGTTTTTATAAAATTTACTAACACTGAACTTGATTTTGGACGGGAGATTCGTATTTGCTAGCCTGTGATTCGCAGAATTTTTCAAGGTCCTCTGCTATAGGCTCATTTTTAAAGTAGCCAATGGAACAGTCGTGTGTTTGTAGAGTTTTTGGTCCGTCCTAAGTGATTTGTAAGGGTAGTTATTAGCCTTTTTTGCTCCAATGAACATTGTGGAGTCACCATTATAATAAAGCGAGCTTTATTTTTAATGTTTTGTTGTTTAATATAAAATTTATAATTATTTTTAGATGATGATAATTTTTCGTACTGAAACTGTTCAGCTTAAATTATAAATAAAAAATTTAATTATTATTAAAATATAAAAAAGTTGTAGTTTTTTAAATTTTTTTTTTTTCAAGATTCATATAGACTTTTCTATACTAATAATAAAAATATTCTTTGATAATGAAGTATACTGAATTAAAAGAAGTGTATTGTTATATTATATTTTTAGACGATTATGACCAAAAAACCTTTTTTGTATAATAATAAAACTTTTACAATAAAAAATAGAGCAAAATATGTAAATAGTAATATTGACATTTTTCTATGTATATTTTTTTATGAAATTATAAAACTGTATTAATATTTTTTATTGGTGATATTCATATTTTTTTTTTTCAATGATAATAAAGGCAAGTCACTCGATTTTTTATTTTAAAAGGGCAAAAAACTGGATCGAAAAATCCAGAAGGCTTGAATACGAAAAAAAAAAAGCGAAGGAGCAGGTTTGTTTATTGTCTTTTTTTTAATACTTTTTCATTATTTATTACAATTAAAAAGTCTTATGCATTATTTTCTTGTTTATATTATTATCATATTAAAATTCTATTTCTTATATTTTCTTATAGTTTTTATCAAGTCTGTTTTTATGTATTCTTGTTAAATATTTTTTTAAAAGACTTCATATATTTAAAATATAATTTTATTTTTCTAGTTTATATATTATCTATCGCTAGTGCTATAGTATATTATTATTATAATTATTATAAAGTTATGTAGTTTGAAGTTTATATTCATTATAAAAGGCAAAAGTTTTTGATGAGCTCGATGAAGATGTTTTTGTGAGCGAAGACACTAAAAAGGCTAAAGATTATAATGTCATTATTATTATATTATTATTTTTTTTTATGTTATTATTATTATATTTCACTACAATTTTAAATAAATATATATTATTGTATTTTTAAATTAAATTAAAAATAAATTATTATTATTATTATAAAGAAGCTTATTTTATATTTTCTTTATAAATAGCATAAAAATAGTGTACATTTTTCCAGCAAAGTTTTATTATTTGTTATAAGAAAATTTTTTTGTACTTCAGCTTCGCTATTCTGGAGCTGATTTGACGGGACTTACAGTTCAGCATGATATTCGTGATATTAAAGAAGGAACTACTATACTTACACTTAAAGATTCTTCATTAAGAAATGCTCAAGGTAATAATAATAATAATTGTAATAATAATAATAATTAATATCCATTATAATGACTTTTTTGTGTAAACTTTATTACTTTGAATATGGTATGTTTTAATACACGTGATATAATTATTATGTGTTTGGTGAGCTAAGCTCTTACTAATAGTAAAGTTCATTAATTATCTGGCGCAGCTGGGCTCGACCGCATTATTATTATTATTAATTATTATTATTATTATTATTATTATTATTTACTAAATATTTATTCTTTATTATTAATAAAGATGATGTTTTGGAAAGCTCCGAAGTTGTCTCTTTAGAAAAGTCCAGAGAATTTATTGAAAATAGGAAAAGAAAGAAAGTTTACAACGGCATGCTATTCTAATAATAATAATAATAATAATAATAATAATAATAATAATAATAATAATAATAATAATAATAATAATAATAATAATAATAATAATAATAATAATAATAATAATAATATAGTTTATGGGGAAGATGAGTTTGATGAGCACGGAAACCCTGTGTTTGGCCAGAAAAGTATATTTTATTAATGTCTATTCTTTACTTTTTTAATAACAGTTTTAAGTTTTCGTATTATTTTTTTTATTATTTATTATTTAGGTTTGCTGCCTCAATTCGACGAGGAAATTTACGGCAAAAAAAAACCCTCGTTTTTGCTTGAAGGCGGTTCTGTTGCTGAAGATAAAGTTATTAAAAACTATAACAACTATAAATAGTTTTTGAGACGCGAATAACGTTACATCTTTTTTTTATGAAGGAAAGAATTGAGAAAGAGGCGATTACAGAGGCCCTTCGCAGGAAAGCTCAGAATTTGCAGGTCAACGGTTTTTTGTTACGAAAAGTATAGTACGCGTTGCAGATTGGTTTTTTTAGGTCACTTTAGTGGAACGGCCGGACACGTACACTCCAGAGGAAATGCTTCAGTTTAAGAAGCCGAAGAAAAAGAGGTTTTTTATAACCAGTTTTTGAAGTTTTGATGAAAATGTATTTAAAAATAATAAAACTGTGAAGTTGTTGTTACGAATAATGAAAACTTTTTAAAAGTTATTATATTGTATTGAATTTAAATAAAATATAAATATTGTGAAAAAAAAATACTAATTACTACTATCTACAAAACGTGAATAATCGTTATGTATATATTTTTCTATATATTGGTATGTTTTTTTATATTTTTATAGTATCCGTGATTTGTTCATTCTAGTTCGACATGGGAAATTATTTTTAATTGGTTAATATATTATTTTTTTTCATTTTCTGGCTAATCATCTATTGTCAACCTATTATGCGATTATTCTTATATTATTCGTGCTTCTTATAATAAAGTCATTAATAATTGGTTAATAGTAATTTCTAAGTATTATCAACCAATTATTTGTACTAGTCCACAGCTGGTTGGACGAGGATTTCGATTATTATTACTCATTGGCTGTTAAAGTATTTTTTTGGTATCTAAAATAGTGATTCCATATTTTTATAGAAGAAAACTTAACGGCGATATTTCAGGAGCTCCTAAAAAGAATAAGTTGACAGCAGAAGATTTACTTCAGTGTTCAGGTTTTTTAATGAACTGTTTTACATCATTCCCCCAACTTCTGGGGAAGTTGTAAAAAATAACGAAACAGTAAAATATTTTTTAGGGTAGGCATAGACCCCAACGTTTGGGGCGGCTAGCTATACTACAGTTATTATTATGACAGCGGAGAGTTCTGCTTCTATATATATATGAGTTAAATCTTTTTGAACTTTTTTTTGTTAAGTTTCAGTATATTTAATGATCATTTTATTATTATTATAAAAATAGCATCATATTTTGATATAATAATACGTATTGACCTCAAATAGGATTTGGCTTAATTTTCATACTTAAAATCAGGGCAAGTTCCGTATAGTTTTTAGTGAGTTTTAAAGATATTACCAATGATTGGTTGAAAGTAGTTTTTATTTTTTTTCTGTTGGAAGAAACTTTTTTTTATAAAATGCTTAAATATTTTTATTGGTCGAACAAAAGTTTAATAAAACTATTTGTCGGTTTACAGTAGAGTTTTTGAGCCTGTAAATAGTGATACTTGGCCTGCTTTTTAATGAATGTATAAACCAATGAGTTAACGTTTAAGTATTTTAAATCGTTTTCTATTGCGGTTTGTAAAATATTCTAAAGTTTTGCTTGTCCTCATTTTCGTAAGAATTTTCGTGTAATGAAAACTGTAATAATCGCTATAATTAGTTAACATAATTTATTTATTAAACTTTTTAGCAGCAGTGCCTGAACCACTCGTGGATCACGGCTCACGCCTGCGTTCGTATAGGAAAAGAGGTTATTTTTCTTTCTTTATAAAATATTATAGTATTAAAAAAATGAAGTTTATTATACTGAAAAATAAAAAACTTTTTATAATTTTTACTGTTTTTTATCATTAACATATTTATGTAATAGTTTTTCAGAACTTATTGTTATCAGCTGTTAACTACCTATAATACCTCTTTATAATATTATAAAGTGCTGAGATTTATTACTCGCAGTTTTAATTGTATAATATATTATTTTTCCTTTTTTTTATTATTATTTATAAATATATATAAAGTAATTCTGCTTTTATTTAAATTTATTTAACTTTTGATCCCTTTTTTTTTATTTTTTATACATTGTTTATTAATTATTAATTATTTTTATATGGAATAATAGTTTCTTATAAGTAAAGAAAACGAGAAAAGTTTTATTCTTTATTTTAAAATATTAAAAAACGATAAAATTATAAAAAAGTTTATACATTTTTTAATGCAAAAGATGAAGATAAGGATGACGAAAGTACGATTACTAAAGTTTCTCTTCCTCCTGACCTGAATGGCTCTTTCAAAGAAAACGGAAATTCAAGGCTCGTAGTAAAATAATATTTAAATAATTAGAATCTTTGTCATTAAATTAATAGCGGAAGATAATTTTCAACCAACATAGGGCCGCTCTGGATCTTGACTCTAAAAAATCTGCTGCTTTTCAAGAAGTGTTGGAAGACGCACGTGACTTGGAAACTCTTTTGGCGTTAGAAAGAACAAAAAGACTTAAAGAACGAAAAGTAAAACCGCTTGAGGATCAAGAATCTAAACTTGCTCACGCCTGTATCGATAATTATTGTTATTCTTATTATTATTATTATCATCATTATCATTAGTGGCTTTTAGGCGAGAGAAAGATCTTATGGTTCTAAAAAAACAAGAAAAGGAAGTGACTATCAATGGAGAGTCCGACCCTCTTATGTTCTCTGCCAATGAGGAGGCCATAAGAAACCTTGGCTCTTCGGGTTATTATTATAGTAATGATAATATATTTAACACGAGCTAATATAACTTTTTTAAACTTTCAAGGTTACGAATCACACGCCGCTAAACTTTCAAAAAAGTTAAGAAGTAAAGAAGATAAATCGGGTATGCAGTAAAAATAACAGTATTATATATAACAATAACTACAATAATAGTAATAATAATTATGTTAATACATAAGGAGCGGACGAAATTATCGTTAGTAACGAAAAGACCGATAAGTACGCACTTCCGGAAGAAACTTTGATAAAGTCCAGCGTCTCCGCCGCTCTGCAAGTAGCCAAGACTATCGGTTTATTATTAAATTATCATTAGTATTCTAATTATTAATAGTATTATTTTTACTATTATCCTTTTCAGGTTTACTAAGTGATCTTAAGGGTGGAACAACCACTCTGATTCTGGATTCTGAGCAGCTGCGGCAGCAGGACGAATTGGATTCAAGGACAGAAAGAGAGAAGGACAGAGACAAGTAAAGCTATTATATCCTCATTATTATTATTGCCTATGTTTTCATTGGTAGATATCGGCACCGGGCGCGTGAACGAGCTTTAGTTGATAGAGAAAAAGAACGTGAACGCGAGAGAGAAACTGTATTTTATATTTACTTCTATATATTATTCTGTATACCATTTTTACTTATATATATATAAAGTTATCCAGAAGAGGCCAACCTTTTGAAGAAAAGAAAGACTATCGACCTTCAGTGGAGTTAGTATTCAAGGACGAGCACGGACGTATACTGGACCAGAAGCATGTAAAAAAAACTTTTTTTTTGATTATTAATAGTTTTTACTTATTTTTATTAATGATTGTTTATTAATATTATGATAATTATACTTTTATATTAATTGTTAATAATTTTTGCTTATTATTCTAATTATTTGAAAATAACACAAATTCCTGCAGGGTTACTGTTTTTTATATTTTTTTTTAGCAGAACTCAATTAAATACTTTTTATAACTTTTTTTTATAAATGTGGAAGGCTTTTAAGCATCTTTCCCATCGCTTTCACGGGAACGGCCCTGGAAAAAATAAACTCGAAAAGTTATTAAAAAAAGAAGCCATAGAAAAGAAGTTGCAGAGCGTAAAAGGTTATAATAATAATAATAATAATAATAATAATAATAATAATTTTTATATTTAGCGGATGATATTACGATGAATAAATTAAAAGAAAACAAAAATTGGACCAAAAGCCTTTGTGGCGGTCGGCGCGGCTGGTGGAAGCATTGCTGCTGCGTAATAATAACAATTATTTTAATTACTTTTCTTAATTAATAAATAATATTTAATACAGTTGTAGAGTGTAACTTTACTTAACAGATTTCTATCTACTTTAAAATAAATTTAAAAAAGTTTTTTATAATTATGCATGACCGCAAATCTCTTTATAGCAATTCTATAGTTTATTAATTCTTTTTATTATATATTATTAATATTATTATTATAAAGAATTAACTGATCTTTCTATAGAATTATTAGACTTAATATAATGGTCTTTATTATTAATTATAAATTTTTACTAGATTGAACATCAAAAAACAGGATCTGTCTAAGAAAAAAATTGTATCTCTGAAAACAAAATCTTCGAAGAAAATAAAAATTGAAAATTAATTGTATTATCAGAATTACTAAAAATCTAATTACTTTTTTATTATAATTTAAAAAATTTACAACTGGGTTTTTAATAAAGTTTAAATGGGTTTTCTATAATTTGAATTAGTAAACTCGATTCACAGTTCTGTTTCATTTATATTTTAGTGAAAAAATTGTTTTCAGATAATTTTTAATATTTTTTTCTACAAGATTATGCCGATTAAAATTTATTTGCTTGTAAATTTCTTTTAAGATTTTTATTATTATTTATAATTTAAATAATTAAAAATGTCAAGTTTTCTAAGCAAATTGAATTATTTTTTAGTTTATTTTTATAAGGTGGTAGTCTTTTGTTTATATAAATGTTATATATTTTGCTTTCGTAATCTCCTATTAAGAAATCATGTGTTGAGGGATTATTTACTTATGCAATTTTTCATTAAGGTAATTTTTTAGCTTATAACTTTTTCTAAGTAAAAAAAGTATTAATTTGTCTAATTTGAAAAGAGTTTTTTATTAAAGAGCCTTCATTGTATTGTTTTTTGCTATTCCTTTTTATCAGTACATCTAAATATTTACAATTAACCATTATAGTTATACTTTCAAGAAAATTGTAAAAGTTATTTTTAATTTTTTTTAATAATTATTAATTTTTCGCTTTAGTATTCCAAGAAGCTTTAAAAGGGGTAACAGTTTTTTATATTTCACTATTCAAGCCAGAAGGATTAAATTCCCTTCATATTTTTTAATTTTTTTAATACCAGTTTAATAATTTTTTATTCTTATAACAGATATACTTATTTTATCTTTTATTCCGCAATATGTTATAGTTCGTATTTCTCCTTCTGTTTAATTTTAAGTAACGAAGTGGAATCTTTTTTCCTTAAAAAAAGATTTTATATTTAAACCAGAAATACAAACCAGAAGCAATAGATTTTCAGACATATTAAAATGATATACAGTATTTATTTTCTCAAATTAAGATGACTTGATCATTTAAAACTTAAAAAGTTTAGACAATATGTTAACAACTGCTGGCTACATTTAATAAGTAAACTTTAATAATTGCGTTTTTATAGTTTTAGTTATTCAAATATTCCTCCAAGAGGTTAGCATGTTAAGAATTACTATAAACTACTTAAGTATGGCAGAAAAGTGAAGCTAGCAAAGTTTTTATAACACTAAAATCTTTTTAGCTTTTGTGATTTTTACAAAGTTGTTTAAAAACTATAAGCTATATAAAAACTTAAATTTTTTTATAATTCATAAATATTACAATTAATCCTTTTACAATATCTTATTAATATTCTACTAAAAGCTAACTGTTCTTTTCCTTTTTTATTATAATAACTCTGATAACTTTATTTTAATACCTAACTACTATATCATGAAGACTTCTTAATAAAGTAAAGTTGTGCTTGCTATTCTTTTTTTAATTTACACCTTTGTGGATAGCGATCGACACGCAAATTATATTATATAACGTACATAACCAAGTTAACGCAATATGAAGTTAACTAAAAATGAAAATAGGGTACTATATCACAATCAATCTCTTAAAAGATCTTAAACCGCTTATGCCTGAATGTCTGCCCCAGTGTATTTATTAAAAAGGCTAAGAAGCTAGTGAAGTAACAAAGAGTCCATCTGCAAAAGTCTTTGATAAGTATTTCATATCTAGCAAGAAATGAACATTTTGGGTGCCATTGGAAAACTATTTGAAAAAAGCATAACTTAGCTATCGCTCCATGAAATTAAGATTGAAGATAAACGACTAAGTTTGGTGAAACTTAAAAAAAAGTCGATCCCAACGAAAAGATTAGAGACTTGACCATTTTTTTTAAACAAAAGGGTTGTTATTTGGCTTATAAATTTATTTTTAAGAAAAAAAAAATTAAATAATCTTACCACCCCACTCCTAATTTTTTTTTCTTCTCCTTTTAGTTTTAGTTTTACGGTTTTTATACTTTTTACACTCTTTTGACGAAATGCCAACGCTTTAAGTTGTTAACAATTAGCTATAATTTAAGTATCTGTGAGTTAGAAACAAAGAACAATCATTTGTTAGGAAGTTAATTATCATATAGTCACTAAAAAACATATTTTATAAATGCCCACTGGCATGAAGCTTTGAACTTATAAAGTGTTTTAGATACAGTTTTCGCTGTTATATTTGAAATAACTTTGAATTATCCGTTTTACATATCGTCATGGAATTTCAAGATTTAGGACATTTTAAAAGCTGACTCGCGCAGAGCTCTATTAAAGTGCTAACTTTTTTCAATAAAGCGAGAATTTAGCACTAAAATGAGCTTGGGTTCTCGTGTAGTACGCCTTGAAATATTGAAACATAGAATACATAAATGTCCCTTTTTATTTAAAGCTAAGAACCGATATTTTAACTAAAAATTCTTTTAAGTTATTATACGCAATGATGACAATATTAATTTCTTTATATACTTATATGTAACTTGGTCATAAGTAATCAGTCAGTATATATGAAAAGTTCTGTCTATATTTATAAAAAAAACTTTGGGCTATGAATATTAATTTTCAAAACTATGCTTTTTTATTTATTAACGCATTATGGTTTTTAATTTTAATATACGTTCACATTATATTTAAATTTTCTTATTTTCTCTTTTTCACTTAATATTTAACTAGTGTACTTTTAAGTGGTCATAGAATTAAGTTTCCATTTTATTAATTTTTTAAATTGGAAAATTTTAAGCTTCTACCACTTAATATGACATAAAACAATCGTTTGAGAAAGGAAACTTAAATTTATAAAATATTAGAAAATTTTAAAAATTAATACATGGTATTGTGCATAAACTAAGTACGTACAAAAATAAGAAACTTATTATTAAAAAGAAAAAGAAAAACCAAATTAAGGGACAGTCAATATAAAATAATGGGCTTTCCTGGCGGAGAAATACACAGTATTTTTTTAAATATAAAAGCGGTCGCATTCCTAAATTTCACTACCAATATGGCTTATCTTCCGAAAACTTGCTTGAAATATTAGAGCAATAGTATTTCTTTTAAAGAAAAATATATAAAGGGTCTTTATAATTAAAACCATAATTGACTTTAGACTTATTTTTTTGACTAAATCTTTTTTACACAGCGAATTGTATTTAGTAAAAATTTTAGTCACCGCGGAGAGCGTTAACTTTTCATCGTTTTGATTAAAAGAAAGTTTAAACCAAAAGAAAATGACAAATATTTCTTCCGGTTATCTTCAGTGACGATTGGTTATTTTTAAGCGAATACTCAAGCGAATACTCATTAACTTTTCTTGATAAAGTTTTGAATGCTTTTGACAATTTATTTTAAAGCTCTATGTTAACTTTTTTTACTATAGGGCTATTAACTATTTCTTTTAGCTAAAAAATTTTATTTTGTGAATATTTTATTTAGTAACTTTTAAATACAAATTGCATTTTTATTTTTTCGAAAATAAAGGTGTTAATTAATAAAAGGGAACTTAAAACCTTTAATATTTTGAAGATAGTATAGATGATATAATATGAAGACTTTAAAGCGCAATATCTCATTAGACAAAAACTGTGACCGTCCTACAACTCAACTAAAGTTAAAAAATCTACCAAAACTCCCTGATTTCTCTGCTTTAAAGTCGGACATTTCTTATTTAAAAGCTATTAATGGTCTATTTTTTATTATAAAAAAGTTATATTGACACTTGTTGTAAAAATATAAATACTTTTAGAAACTCGAAGGACAGCTTCTTTTCAGATGCCCACAAGCTCAAAGTTGGAAAGGTAATAATTTTTTTTTATAACTCATTTATATTAAAAGCTTTTACTTTGCAAGCATCAAGTTAAGTTTAAGTTTAAAAAATTCATTGAACTATGAAGCTATACTAAGTGAACCTCTAGGGTATATCAAAATCTTGTAGATGTTTTTCTATATAAAGAAAATAAAGTCGATTATAGCTTTGAATGCTTTTTACAGTTTTGCTCGCTGAGTGAAGTGTTAACTCTGAGGCTTAGATTAAAGAAACTACTAAAGAATTTGAGAGTATTAAGCATCATCCAATATTAAAATTATAATATCAGTGTTTAAATGTAAACTTTGTAGTTTTTTTCCGCACAAGACTATGCTTTTGTACGAAATTATTTCAAGGAGACTCTAAAAGAAAAAAAAGTTCTTTCACTTAGGTTGACATCCGAAAAAAAAATTAATATTTTTTTTAAAGGAATTAATTCCGCATGATTTGGTTATCCCTGTGACTAATCTTTTAGATGGTAACAATAATTTTAAAAATTTTTTTTTCAAATAGTACACAATTAATGCTATAAACTACTTTAGAATCTACTCTCTTTGGTAAAGAAGCAATTGGTCTACTTCTTCAGATAGAAAAAATGAACGAATCCGCCTTGAAATTAGTTACTGAAAAAATTTAATTTTATCATTTTATATTAATTTCTTATTTTTACTTTCTAAGCTTTTTATATAGTATTATAATAGTAAGTAAAATTAAATTATTAAAGTAACTTTTAAATGATTTCAATCATTAAATTTTGTAATAATACTTAACGGCTAACGGACTTTAAAATAAATTATAAACTTTCCGATAATTCTGAGAAAGAATGTTTGAAGTTCTTTATAATAATATATATTTTACAAAATATAGATTTTCTTCGGTTTATATATCAAATTCTAGAAAATTTACAAAACTTTTCTTTTATTATTTTGTTAATTTTATAAATTATTATATATAATATATAATTATGAGGTGTTTACCGTATTTTTAAAAACGAACTTTTATAAGTGTTATTTAAAATGGAAATATATTGAAAGCGTCTTAGAAGTGAGCGACCAAGATTTCTTCTCTCTTAGACTTATTGGAAGAGGAGCTTTCGGAGAAGTTTTTTTTGTTTTTACAAATTTGATAATTTAGATATTATTATTAAAACCTTTATATTTTACTTTTTAATACCAAAAGCTTTAAAGTTTATATTTTTATGATTAAATTTCTCTTTCCTTCTATAGTTATTATAAAATTTATAAATATAAATATTTTAATAAAAACTTCCCAATATCCTCTCAAATTACTTTTTATAATAAAAATATTTGTCTACTTTAACATCCGAGTTGTGCATCTACTTTGATTATAAAAAGTAATAAATGAGATAATTTTCTTTCCAGTAAATTATTATTTCTTTAAGGTTTTTTGCATGCAGAAGAAAGATAGTGGCCATCTATACGCAGTAAAGTCTTTAGACAAACGACATCTAAAAAAAACAAGAAAAGAAGTTTACAATTAATATTAATATTAATAATATTTATAATTAAAATAATAATATTTTTTTATAGACAGTGGCAATAAATGAGAGATTAATTTTAGAAAAGTGCAAAAGTCCCTTTATTGTGAGACTTGCGTACGCCTTTCAAAATGAAAGTGAGTAAAATAATAATAATAATAATAATAATAATAATAATAATAATAATAATAATAATAATAATAATAATAATAATAATAATAATAATAATAATAATAATAATAATAATAATAATAATAATTTTTTATATTTTATAAAAATTTTTCGAATTTTATGTATAAACTAAAAAAGTTTATATAAGATTTCTTTGTTATTAATTTTTCTAAACGAATTCATCTAAGAAATTTTTTTTAATAGAAAAAAAAAAATTGATAATAAATATAAAGTTATAGTTACTTTTATATAAAAAGATTTTCTTTTTATTATTAATATTATCTAAAAAAAAATTTTAATAAAGTCTATTAGCTGTAAATAAAAAAAAAAAAGTTGAGGTTCTGCTTTATATAATAAAAAAACTCTAATTTTTATTATAAACTTTTATACAGAAAAACTTTGTGCTTAACTTTTTTATCATTAAAAAATGAACTTATTAATAATATAACTTTCTAAATATAAATAATAAGTAGCAAAAATATTTTTTCGCTTTATATAATTATAGAAAAAAACATCATAAAATTTTTTTTGCTTAACTTTTTTATCTTCATTATTTTTCTTAAAAACTTTTATAGAACTTTCTCTCCATTTTTTTATATATATAGATTTCTTGTTTCTAGCGATGACTATGATGGACGGCGGTGATCTTCGTTACCATCTGAACTTATCAAGAAGATTCAGCGAAAAACAGGAACGTTTATATTATTATTATTATTAATTATTATATAAACTTTTTTAATAAAACTGCGAATTTTTTTTAATATTATTATTATTCTCATTATATATACTATACACGTTATAATAATTATTTCTTATTATATCATTATTACTACTTTTTTCATATATTATCGCATATTATTAGATTTATTTTAGAGAATATTGTTATTGCTGCTCACTTTACTTATATCAACATTTTTTTACTAATATTGTATAATTTTACTAAAATTCTTATTATATACAAAAAAAGCTTTTTTTTTCTGATTTAATAAAAATTTTACGTGCAGGCTTGCTTTTACGCAATGGAAATACTATTAGGAATCGAGCATCTTCACCAGAAAAATATTATATATCGGTTTTATTATTATTATTATCATTAGTATTATCATAAATATTAACTTCTTTTTTATAAGAGACTTAAAAGCACAGAATGTTCTTCTTGACTCAGCTGGTTTTTAATTATTATTTATAAATTTTGCTACGAATATTAAAGTAATAATGCAGTATACAATAATCTTGTAAAGAATTATTTATTATATATTAAAAATTTAATAGTTACTACATAATAAATATTAATAAAATTAATGATTAAGCAAAAAAATACTATATATTAATTAGTAAAAAACTTATAATAACTTTATAAAATTGTTATTTAATAAATTTATGAAAATATTAGAATTAAATGAATATGTTTATTTCTTAAGTTTGTCATATAAAATATTCATTATTTTAACAATATTTTAGGTCACTGTCGAATCAGCGATCTTGGCTTGGCGTGTTACTTGGAGCCTGGCACGTTCAAGGAAAGTACGACGGGAACGATTGGTTATATGGGTTGGAAAAACTATTATATTTGTAGAAATATTATTGGCCTGTATATAGTAGTTTGTTATAAAAAATAATGAGAACTATAAAATTTTTATGAAGTTTTAAATATTATTATTAATTTTTAAAAAAGCGCCTGAAGTTCTTAAGAAGGAAAAGTACGGACTTTGGGTGGATTGGTGGAGTTTTGGTTGTTTGCTTTTTGAGATGCTGAAAGGACGAGTAACATATTATTATTATTATTATTATTATTATTATTATTATTATTATTATTATTATTATTATTATTATTATTATTATTATTAATATTATTATTATTAGCCTCCTTTCTCGGAAAACCATAAGTTATCTCGCAGAGAATTGAAAGATAATACACTTTTTAAGGAGGTGGTCATTCCAGAATATATCTCTGAAGTTGCCGCTTGTCTAATTAAAAAGGTTTATAATAATAATAATAATAATTAATAATAAGTGATAATCATAATATTAATTAATATTTTATTATATAAAAAGTTGCTCGTGAAGAAAAAAGAAGAGCGGCTTGGGTTTCTGGACGCTCTTCTTATTAAAGAGGAGTTGTTTTTTAAGTCCTATTCTTGGTCAGCTCTCCAATTAAAACGTGTTGATCCGCCATTTTTTCCTGGTGCATGTTTATCTTCCTTCATTTTTATTATGAAAGTTTATATTTATATTTACTTATAATTGTTAACTTTAATATAAATGTTTAAAATTTATTGAAATAATACTAAAAATTTCTCAGTTTTATTAAAAATATTTTCAACTTTTTTGAAAAACTGGTACTATATTAATAGTTAAAACTTTTTCAATAGAAGAAAACCGTATTTTATCGTCAGGAGTCTCAACTTCTTCAGGTTTGTTAGTTTTGATGTTTATTTTATATATATTTTTTGTTTATAATTATATTCTTATTATTATTCTCTTAAAAAGATGCGAAAAGTTGCGGAGTATATTAATATTGAGCTTTCACTGCGCGACCAAGAAAAGGTTTTTTTTAATAATATGTAATATAATAAAAGTTTTTACTTATTATTATTATCTGTATATAAGCGCAATGCAAACAATAATAAAAACTTTCATTTCTAATGATATTTATAATTATTAATACATAAAAGCATTGAAATATTATATTATAAGTTTTATACTTTTTATTATTAATTTATATTTAAAAAAAAAACGAAAAGTCGTTATTTTTTAAGTTATAAGAATACTAGCTCTGATTGGACAATTAGAAAAATAGATCAACTTTTGAGTGCATCTTTCATAAAAAATTTTGAATTCATAAAAATGTGTGAAAGTTTATAAATAATATATAAAAGCTCGATTTAATAACAACACTCTAAGTTATGGAAATATAACAAATAGAAAAAGTCTATAGTAAAAAATTCATATTTATTATTATTCTTATTTATTAATTATTATTATTAGTATACGAACTTTAACTGTATTATTAGTCGTGAATGGCAGAAAGAAGTCATCAATAGTGGAGTTTTTAAGGAGGTGGTTTTATTATATTAAATCTTTCAAAAGAAAACTGACAATTTTTTATTTTGCTTATTTATAAAACTTTTTATATAAAAAAGCAACTATTAAATAATAAAACTTTAATATTAGATAAACGATACAGCTTTGGATATACCAAGTTCTCTACGAAACAGGTATTATTACTCTTACTTTTAGCATTGCTATTATTATATTTAAAGTTTCATGTTAATTATTATTATGATAGTTGCTTATCATAAAAAATTTTTTACTTTGAATTATTATTATAAATAAGAATGATAATTAAAAATATTTTATTATGTTTTTAAAATTTTATTTAATTATTTATTGAAAGTTACTTTTATAAATTATTTTGTTGTAATATTTATATTAAAATATTCATGTTTATTAGTATTTTTATTTATTTTTAACTTCCCGTTGAATAAAAGCTACTTTTATATATATGCTTATGATATTTACGGTAAAAATTTTTTAAGTTTATTTTAACTTTGTTTTCTTTTTACTATTTCTTGTTTCTAAAAAGGATAAACAAACTTTTTGAAAAAGTGCAAAAACTTGCTTCCAAGCTCAAACTCCGAGAATAGTAGATTCATATAAACTTATTAAATAAATTTCATTTAAAAAAAATTATATAAATAAGTGAAAAGTTGAACAATTTGATTTTAGTAATCTAAACAAAGTTATTTTCAAAAGCTATTAAACTCTTGTTAAGGAAAACATAAATTTAAATATATTTTTTCTTACTAAATTATGAGCCTAAAATATAATAATTGTAAGTTTAACTAAAATACTGAATTTTTAAAAAAAAGTAGAAAATTTGTTATAAATTTAAATAAAATTTCATTTTTATAATAAAGTTTTATTTAAAATAGATAATAATTAAGTGTTATAGCATTTAAAACGTAAAATATTGATATTCAGTTTAATATATAAATATTAATTATATTTTATTTTATAAGGGATCCTTAAAATTTTTTGTGGTAAATTTTATATTTTATTTTTGTAGAAAAATTATAGAAAATGACTATTACTAACATTATTATTATAATAACTGAAATAAGGAAAGGGGGGGAAAATAGTATATTTATATTTATTTAAGAAATCAGCAAAAAAAAAAGTTGATTTCATAAAAATTAAAGTACTTTCTAAACACAATCCCAGTTAAGTAACCGTTAATATAATTTTTGTACAAATCGAAATAATAAAAATGCATAAATTAAATTTAAAAAAGTTTTTAAATTTTTAATTTTCCTTTTTAAAGAATTTAAATTTCTAATCTTTTCTACTGCATAAAAATAGTAAAATCCAAACAGTCAGCGAGCCACGGGTGGAACAGGAAAAAAAAACGGATCCGCTCCTTTATAACTGCCAAAAGTTTAGAAAAGTTATAAATTTTAAATCTAGTTAAAAAATTCTTTAATTTTTATACACGCGTATAATAAAATTATAAATTATTATCAATTATTTATTAAAAGATTAAATTTGGAAGAAAAAAATTTACACCCATCCATGCAGCTTTGGTAATTTATTTTATAGACTGCAATTTATTTTAAACGTTCTGTGATTTCATAAAAATTATAACACTGCTATTTTTGGATTATTTTTCTTTTTATAAATTTTTAATTCAGACCTAACTTTGATTCTGAACTACAAATCAATAGGCTTATGCTGTTCATTTAGCCATTGCTGTTCCGTTTCTTTTTGGAGCCGACGATTCTCTTCCGCACACATCTTTAATTAAAGCAACTGCAATCATTAATGAAATTGGAAAAAAAATGCTACTACACCAGATGCAAACAGCAATGAAAGAATTTCAAGAAGAGGAAGTAATAAATTATAAGGATAAGGACAAATACTTCAGTAGCGATAAAGAAGTGTGCGATGGACCTTTTTTTAGTGGAAGTAAAGTTTTATAAAATAAGAAAAAATAAAGTTGAGTCGATTTGTTTTCTAAAAAAAAAAATGAATTATGAAGTTATTGTTAATTAATATAGTTAATTTTTTATTTGATTGATGAACATAAAAATTTTAAAGATTATTTTTGTAAACATATAGATAATAAGAGCGAGATTTTTATTTGCTTTAGATTTTTTATATAAAAGTTTTTCTTTTCCAAGCAATTGAAAACATTAATTATGTATAAAGTTGGTAGCATATGTAATAAAGGTTAATGCCAATAAAAAAAGGACTCAATTTCTTTCCCAAAAATTAATTCCGGGCAACATTTTTACCAAAACTTTTTTTTTTATAAGTCGTGAATCTAACAACTTTTTTTATAATTAACTAATTTAGCTTCCCCATATGTGGTTGGCTGTAAGGCGAGAGATCTCTTAATACTTTTACGAAGATCGTTTTCTTTGCCAAAAAAAAGTGGCGGACCAGGAAAATACTAAGAATTTTTCCACCTCGTTAGGCTTATTCGAGTGTTCCGGAATTAAAAAACTAATGAAAGGAGTAACAACGAAAATATACTCAATTCCATGATTTATAGCGATTCTGTGCCTTAGTTGTTTATGAATTTTTTTTTTAACACTAAATCCAAAACAAAAAGCTGAGCAAGAAAAGGATGTCGAGAGAAGAACAAGTAAAGTTTTAGCTTGTAAAGACTTTCTATTACTTTAACGAAAATAACCAAACTATAAAAACTATGTTAAACTTTACCTTCTTTCTAGTCTTACGTTAAGCTCACATGAATTACGAAAATCCGCTTAAGGGTATAGAGAAAAGTACCGAAAATAATGACTAAACTACATGGAATATTAAACAAATTTAAACCCAAGTGTAGGCGTAATAAAAAGAATTTTTATTAAATTATTTGCAGTGAGGCTACTATTTGCTTATGTTTATGCTGCATTAATGATATTATTTAGTTGTTGATAAGCTAAACCTTCTCCTCTGAAAATACTAAATTATTCTTTTCGTCTTTACTTGTGTATACGCATGGGCGTATCGTCTTAAACTATTAGTTTAAGATGGCTTACACTGATCTTAAGGTTATTACTTTGTAATTGTTAATTGTTTTTTCATTTTAAACAAGAAGCTATACGTATGGTGGCTTCCCAAATTTATTTTAGATTTTTTCAGTTTTATTGCGCATTTTCTCAAGATGGGGTGATTGTGATTCCAGAATATATAAGCTATGGTTGTGTACTTTTTCTTGGAACTCATATAAAAGATTAAAGCATTGTGAGAAGCAACAACTACAAATTAAAAGGAAAGTTTTCAGATAAGCTATAGGGGCTTGCACTAAGTATTTTGTTGGCTTAGGGTACCTCGGAACGTTGTACAATAATAAAACCTTAAATTTTATTATAGCTTCTTGTGCTGCGGTAAATACTTTTTGTGTAGTCTTCGCGGTAAATATTTTAAATAGTGACAACTTTTAAAGAGAACCCCAGTTAGGAAGACACAAAAACATACTGGGAGCTAATACATCCACAGATAATAATTTAAACACTTGAAAAAATAATACATAATATAAAATCCACACCTATCGGATAACGATTTTCATTAACTATAGCGAATCTGTTAAAAATAAACTAAAAATTACACGATATATATATGACTAGTCATAACTCGATTACTACTCAAACCAAAGGATCTGCGCAATTTATTGGAATAAGAAAAGACAGAATTTTTTTACATATATTCACCGTCTAGGGTATTTCTATTACCAAATACAGTAAATAAAATTGCCTTTTTACGACAGATTTACAATAAAAGTATAGTTTTTGTCTTTTTTTTTTTTTACTTTTATCTATTCTTTACAATTTCCTTACTGATAGTACTAAGTCCATACCGGCTAGAATATAAAAGTGCAGGTGAAGCATATCTTTTACTTCTTTTAAACTCCATTTATATTATTATTAGATTCTCTTGTCAAGTCAGTACACTAATTTTGTTAATAATTTTTTAATACATAATTCCAATTAAAATGCTTAAAGTTATGTAACGTTAAAACAAAATTCAGTAACGTATTAACGCAACAAACGACTGCTTATTATTAATAAAAATGCAGTTTACTTGGAAATATACACTTTCATACATAAAAAGTCTGACAAAGCCAAGCAGTAGCCCGGACGAATTGTTTTTTCTAATTTTATGAGACGAGCGATAAATCTTTAAGTGTTTATAAGTAAAACCAAATGAAAATTAACAGTGAATTTACTGTTTGGTCTTACTTTTAGCCCTTTGAAGCATCATTATTATTGTTAGGTCTTAAAAAAATCAAATTTTATTTCTAAAAGTTAGTAACCCAGAATGAAAGGCATACAACGATTTAAGAGGATTTATAATAATCTAGAAGCCAAGAGTAATTTTTATATGAATGGCTTATAAGTTGATAAAATATTCTATCCTAATGGGAAAGTATGAAATTCATAATAACTAATTATTCTTGTAGCTTTAACAAAAAATAAATTTGCTTTAGTAATGTTATACAATAACCAAACGACCTCAAAAGAGGAATTAAAAAAAAACCCGCAAGCAAGAGGAAGAAGCAAAAGAGACAGATAAAATTTATTGTGCTTCCAGAGGAATCTAAACTAGAATTGCGCTTTATTCGGAACACATATTCATCTCTATGAAAAATATATAGCAGCCATTATTGTTCTACAACAGTAAACAAAAAATCTATATCCTACTTTCCCTAGTATACTTATTATATACGTTACATAGCAATTAAATATATATTTTTTAAAAAGCGAATATTTGCGGCCAACAAAAATATACAAAAAAGTTAAATTTTATTTTAATTTTAATAAATTGCAATCTCTTTATCAGAGCAGAAAATTTCACTGAAATCGGTAATTAGTGAGTTCTTAGTCGGCTAATTCGCCACGAGTTTGGCTCTTCGTAACGATTGTAAAGCGGCTCGATCTTCTGCTGTCTTTTAGCTTTAGACAAGTGAGTTGGGTCGGCAATCTTGAAAAAGGAAGGCGCAAAAATCACAAACCTAAAAGCATAAATATTAAGTTTACCCCAAAAAATATAATATACAAAAAAGTATTTTTTTTAATAAAAAACAATTTTAATTTTTATATTAGATTAAAAAAAATTATTTAATAACTTTTAGTAAAGTTTATTAAAAATATTTATAAGATTAACAATTACAAACCTTAAAATAATAAGTTTTACTCATTATAAATAAAATTAATAAATAAAAATTTAAAAAAATAGTGAAATTAATCAAAATTATTTTCATAAAATATTTTTTGAAATGTGATTATTAAATTTGAAATTTACAAACATAACCACCACCATCACAATAATAATAATAAAAATAATAACTGATAAAAAATAGAAATTAAAATTAATAATTTTAAAGAGAAATAATTTTACATTGGATTTAAAAGAAATTTTATTAGTTATAATAATTAACAAGTAACCTATATAATAAACTTTTAAACAAAGTTTAACTAGTATAATATAATATACATAAATGATAATTTAAATTAAGTTTAAATTTAAATATAAAAAAAATTAATTTATTAAGTGATCTATAAAACTAACTTTTAGTAAATAATATTAATAAATTTAATATGTTTGTAAGAGTTTATTAATTAAAAGTTCTTATTATTTACTTAAAATCCTATAATAAATATATTATTCTATACTGATTATTATTAATCAAGGCTACGCTATTACTATATAATAATAATTATCAATAGTAAGTAATATTAAAAAAAATATTAATTCAACAAAAAAAAGGTAAGTAAACAATATTTATACAATACGTTATCTGAATTATATAAAAAGTAATGGGAAATTAGAGATTCTAAAATGAAATCAAAAAATAAATCAATTAAATCATCGTGGTTATATGCTATACGGTAAAATAATAACTAAAATAAATTTCAATATAAATTATTTTAATAATTATAATATTTATATCTTAAAAAATTTAAAATAATGTCGTATTATCTTTAAAGATTAACAATTTTTTAATATTTTACTAAAAAATTGTATTATGTGCCTATAAAAAATATTAATATTATCATTGTATTTTATTATTATTATTATTATAGTTATTTATACCATTGAGGCTCCACAGCTGTCACTTCCCGCATGTATTCTTTTGTAGTTAAAACAAGCTCGTGATAAACAACCCTAAAAAATAAATAAATAATATTAATAATACACTTTTGATAAAGAAAAAAAAAACCATTCCGGCTGACGTTGGTATAATGAAGAGGACGGATGAATATAAACGTGTTGGTTGTCCACTAAAGTCATATAACTAACATAAAAGTATATAAAATATATATAAATGTGATAATAAATAAATAAAATATATAAGAAAAGTAAAAATAAATAAAAAATATAATATATAGTGATACTAATAAAATAAATCTTAAATTAATATATGTGAAAATAGTAACTATTATTAAGAAAAAGGAATAAATAAATAGTTATTTAAATACAATCAAAATAAGTAAAAATAAAATATGTAAAAGCATTTTATAATATAATAACTAAATAAAATTTATATAAAAAAAAACATATAATAATATATTGAATAATAAAGAAATATAAAATTAATGAATATAAAATATATAATAAATACAGAATAAAAAAAAATATATAAAAATAAAAAAAATTAATATAGCATACATTAATATATATTCTTTTATATAAAATTAAACATACAAAATATAAATAAAAAAATAAATGGAAGTATATAAGAAACAAACAAAAAATATAAGAAAAATATAAAACAGTATAAGAGTTATAAAAAAGCGAACCCTTCTTGCGGGTCTTTCTTAGCTGCGTGCCGGAAAAAGCCGCTGCATATGCACTGACGAACTTTGTTAAAGTTTGTTCCGCAGGACAAAACGTTGAGTTTATATCTAAAAGTAAAAAATATTAAATTAACAGCAATAAGTAAGGCAAAGTTCAAGCCACCTGTCCATAATACTGAGAAGTTGCTTACGAACATCTTGTGCGCGTCGTAAACTTCTCGCTTGTAAAAAATTTTCGTGGCACCACATGTTGGAAAACTTGTTGTTTTTCCACGAATTGTAGACCGTTAATAAAGTTAGATGATCGCCTTATAATAATAATAATAATAAAAATAAAAAAAGTAATTAATAATAAGTAATAATAATAATAGTAATTAATAATAAGTAATAATTATAATATTAATAGTAACCTTCAGGTTGGTGAAACCTGGCCTTCCGGCTATCAGCTAAAGCTTGCTTATCCTATAAAAATATCAGGGGAACAAATAAAAAATATAAATAATGAAATAAAAAAATTTACTAATAATTATAAATAATAATAGTAATAATAATAATAATAATAATAATAATAATAATAATAATAATAATAATAATAATAATAATAATAATAATAATAATAATAATAATAATAATAATAATAATAATAATAATTAATAATAGTAATAATAATAAAACCTTTGGCCTATAGAATACGGCCTGGATAGTTAGCATAGCAACTATCGTTAAAATTTCTTCACTGCACTGCAACTCAACACTTTGAATCAACATTTTCGATAGTGGAGGCTCCAAAGGAAACTAATAATAAAATTTTTATACAAAATTTAAATATTTATACAATTATAAATAAAAAGGCCTTTTTCTATAAAAAAAGTAATGTTACAACTAAAACAATAAAAGAAAAATATATAAAAACTAGAGAGTAAGACGCAAATTTTATGTTAAACAAAAAATAATAAAAAGTTTTTTATATAGAGTTCCAAAGAAAATAAGTAAATTTTTTGTTAAATAATTATTATAAAAAGGATAATGATATAAGAGTTATATAAAAACTACAACAGTAGCCTAAGTTTTTTAAAAAAATACTTTTATTATAATAAATATTTCAAAAAATACCACAAACGCAAACTTTTTATAAAAATAGAAGCTTTAATATAAAAATTCGCCCAAAAACTACAACTGAAACAAACTTTAATATCTAATAAATGAAAGAAACTTTAACATGGAAAATTCTTCCAAAACTGGAAAAGTGGTAAACCATTAGGCCGCCTAGGACCGACCCGTGAAAGTAGAAAACTACCAGTTTCTACTTTTTTCCGTTCTGCTGTAGCAAAACATTTTACTGAGCTAGCATTTCTATATTGCTAGTTGTTATTTTGTTCTAGTAAAGTAGGACTTTCTTCTCTAGCACGTTGAGCGTGACTACCTTAATTCTTTCTTTCGTTATCTGCCCACCATGTTAGGGTTTGAAAACTAAGATGAAACAACCTAACAGATTACACGCTAACAGATCGACACTAGTAAGAATCTCAACAACTAGGAATTAATTCTTGTTTTATCATTTCTACCATAGTTAACATCTAGACTACACCACCATTGTTAACAATTCCCTTAGCCTGCGCAGTAGTCTAGTGCTTCTTTACGAGCATTAAAGAGTGGCTGATAGATCTGGACAGCGATCTCGAAGTTAAAAGAAGTTCCACAAAAACTACAATTCAAGCAAATTTTTTATATAATATATAAATAAACGCTTTTCATATAAAAATTTACCAAAAAAAAGCAGCACAAACGAACTTTTTACATACACAAAGTAAACATATTAAACCTTAATATAAAATACTCACCAAAAACTTCAACAACAAAAAATATATATTAAATAAAAATATAAAGTTCTAAACACTTCTGCCATTTTTCTGCCGAGACGCGTTAATAAGCCTTCATCGTCCAAAGCAGAAAGCGAGTAAAGCTGCTCCATCGCACTTATTAAAGTCTTAAAAAAAATTTTTTGATAATTAATTTTTTTTAGTTTATTATATTTTATATATAATTTGCTTTAAAATAATAATAATATAATAAAATTATTAAAAATAAATAAATAAAAATTAAAAAACTAAAAAGTAATAAAAATAAAAATAGTTCAAACTTATAAGTAATTATTATTTAAGAATAAAAATAACTTTAAAAACTTTCTATTAATAATTTATTAATAAAAAAGTTGACAGTAATCATTAATTATAATAAAAGTTTTCAACCATAATAAAATAGTACTTAGAAAAATATAATAAATATAAAAAAAATAAAAAGTAAATAAATAGCACAAAATAACAACTATAATACAAATAATAACAACAGTAATAATAATAGTAATAAGTAAATATAATAATAATAATAATAACAATAATAATAATAAATATAATAAAAATACACGCACCGAGGCGGGAGGCGGATCCATAAAGTCGAAAGATAACAAATCGTTAATGCCCATCGCTTTCAAACTTAAAACCTTAAATAAAGTTTTACAAAATATAAAATGTAATAATAAAAATAAAGTATAAAAAGTAAAGTATAAAGATATAAAAGAAATAATAGTAATATATAAAAAATAATAATACAGTATAAAAAGTAAAGTATAGAGATATAAAAAATAACAGTAAATATATAAAAAATAAGGATAAAGAATAAAAAGTATGATAGACGTATTAAAAAAAATTATTTAAAAAATATATAAAAAATATTGTACTGTATGAAAAGAATATTAAAGCATAAAAAGTAAAATAAACATTTAAAAAAAAAATAGATAATAATAAAATATAGAAAAATAAAAAAAAATTAAAAAATATATTATTAAGCAGAGGAATATACGATAAATAAATTTAAAAAGTAAAATAAGATTAAAAAAATAATAATAATTTATATATAAATAAAATTGGATAGTGTGATAATAAAAATAAGAATGTAAAAAGTAAAATAAACATATATAAATATATACATAATATTTATTTTTTTTTTATATTTCTATTTACTTTTTACATTATTCATTTTTATTTTCTATAATATATTTATGTCTTTTTATTTTTATTATATATTATTTATATTTTTATATATTTTTTATAGTTTTTTAAATATGTAATAAAAAGTAATAACATATAATTAAGAGTTAAAATTTATTTTAATAACTAATAGTAATAATAATAAATAATTTATAATAAAAAATTTTAAAAAATAACAAACTAAAAAAAAATAAGAACAAATATAATAATTTAAAAATAATTACGACATAATAAACATGGTAAAATAAATATACCAAAAAAAGGATTAGAAAAAAGAACAATAAAGATAAATAGAATGAAAAAATTAATAGAATAAAAATGAAAAGTAAAAAATAAAATAAAAACTGATAATAATAAAGATAAAAATTTTGTAAAAAATATTAAATGACTAAAAAGTAATAATCCATAAATAAATAGTAAAAAAAAAATATTATAATAAAATAAATAATTAAATACGAAAATAATGAAAAAAATTATATATTAATAAAAAATAACTAAATATTATTTAAATATATAATAAAAATATAATGTACAAGAAAAGTATAAATAATAACAATGATAATCATAACCAAGAATTTGAGTAAATATGAGAAAATTTATAAAAAAAATTAATATATTAACAATAATAATAATATAAATAAAAAAAAAGATGTTAAATAATAAATAATTGTAAAGCAGAAAAAATAATAAACAATAGAACAATAAAAATTATAGATATAAAATAGTAAAGAATAAATAAAAAGTAAAAAGTATAATAATTATAGATTATAAATAAAAATGTAAAAAAAAGTAAAATTATATTGAATGTATTATAATTAATAATAAAATATAAGAAAAGATCAAAATAATTATAAAGAAAAAAGTAAAAAGTATCATAAAAATTAAAAAAATTAAAGAATAATAATCATTATACTAAAAGGTAAAATATAAAACTAATAAATAAGAATAATACACTATAATAAAAAGAATAATAAAGAAAAAAATATTTAGTGATAATATAAAAAAAATAAACATTAATTATTATAATAAATAAAAAGAAATAAAAATAATAATAAATAGAAGAACAGTTGAGCAGAGATTGGTCCGTTGAAGTTCAGGCACTGCCGTTTGTAGCATTTCGTTACGATACGCAGCTTCAGTATATAAACGGTAGCATTTGCCAACGCCTAAAAAAAATTTGTAAAAAGTTTTATATAAAACTTTTAAAAAAATAAAAGTTCGTTGAAGTTTTTCATTAATATATAAACTAAATTAAAAGTTTTTATGGCATTTTAAAAAAATTATTAAACTTTTTAATTTACAATTTAGAATGGAGATAATCTAATAAAAAAAGTAAAAAAAAAAATACGAAAACTTTAATTAAAAGTTTATAAAAAAAATTGAGAATTTTTTTTTTAATTCACTAAAAAAAGAAAAAGTTCATTGGTTAAGCAAAGGGCATTTAAAGACCTTTACAAAGAGCACGAAAAAATTAAATTATGGCACGTTAAAAACTAATCGGTAGCAGATGATAACTCATTTTAAAGTGAAATAAAGAAACTGATTGGTATCATAATACCAATTACCTTTCAGTAAATTGTAATGCAACACTTAAAATATAGTAGTAACCAATAAAATATACTTAAAATTGCTACATCAAATAGTAAACAACAAATTCATTATATATAATCAAGAAAGCACGCAATGCAGCTACTTAATTGGCTGTATTTCACGTTAAAAAAGTTCCCTTTACTTAATAAACCAACGACTACAAACGCGACCACGTATGCTTTAACTAGTAAAAAACTCTATAAACGTTATAAACCAGTTCTTCCTGCCCGTCCAGCCCGTTGGCGGGCCTGCGCCTGAGATATTGGAGTAACGACCAACGCGTCTACGCCCGATTTTGGGTTGTATACTTTTTGTTTTACAAAGCCGGGATCAACCACATAATAAATACCTAATAATATTAACGGATAATGAATAATCAACAAATATAATAAATAAATAAATAAAAAAAGAAACCGTCAATTGTTAGTGAAGTTTCTGCTATATTAGTGGCCAATATAACTTTACGAGAGCCGGGGACTGCAGGCTCAAAGATTCGTGTTTGCATTTCACTAAAAATAAAAACTTGTTAATAAAAAGTGATGTTTTATTACTACTGGAGGATACCTCGGAAGGGCAGAATAAACAGGAAGAATAACGAGTTCTGGGACTTTGGGACCCAACGCTTGCATACGCTCATAAAGAATCTCGCAGGACGTGTCAATCTCTTCCTGACCAGTCAAAAATACGAGCTTTTTTTTTACAAAAAAAATAGTGAAACAGTGAAATAAAAATATAATAACAGTAATTATAATAATGCTATTATATTACTAATAATAATAATTATAATTATAATACGATATCACCGGGTGGCTCATTCAAGTGGATTTGCATAACTGTGATAAGCGCAGCATCCAAATAATCTTCTTCTGGTTCTCTTGAATATAAAATTTCTACAGGAAATGTGCGCCTGCAATAAAAAATTTCTAATTGATTCATGTGAAATATAAAAAAATAATCACAACTATTCACGATATAATAAAGTTTATAAAAATAACTTTGCAGGAAATATAATGAAAATATTCAAGTTCATTATAAAAAATAAATAAAGCAACCCTTTAATAGTAAAAATGGGGCAACTAAAAAAGTAACTTGAAAACTTCTCCGCGTCAAGAGTAGCAGAAGTAACAATTAACTTTAAATCCGGTCTTTCTTTAACAACCTAAACATAGTAAATATAATAAATAAACAAATAATATAATTTAATTATATAATAATAAAATAATAAAGAATAAATAATGTAATATACATAAATATTAAAAACAAATATTATAATCATTTCAAATATTATAAAAAAATATAATATTTTTTTCCTTTTATATATTATTATATAATTTTTTTACTTGATTATTCATTTACACTTCTTTTATATATTATTTATAAATCTGTAACTTTTCATTCTTTATTATAATTTATAGCAAGTGTTATTGTAATTTAATATTTATCAAGAATAATAATAAATAATAATTATAATAATAATAACATTCTTTAACAAGCCAAACAAAACGTCTGTGTTAATAGTCCGCTCATGCGCCTCGTCAAGCATAAGAACGGAATACTGAGACAACTTCTTATCAAGTAAACATTCTCTCAAAAGCATACCTTATTAAAGCAATAATTAATAATAATTATTATAATAATTATAAGATAATAATAATTAATATCTTACCGTCCGTCATGTATTTTATTTTAGTTTCAGGAGAAGTGCAGTCTTCAAAACGAATTGTATAACCGACTTCAACGCCTGTTAAGGCGTTTTTTATCAAGACGAATACAAAAATAGAATAAATATTAAAAACTAATAAATATAAATAATAATAATAATAAGAAACTTTTTAAATAGGCTATTTAGTTATAACGAAAATAAAAATCACGATTATTATTGATATATTTTTATAATTAAAAAAGTAATAGAAAATAAAATAGTAATAAGCATTTTAATCAGCTTCATTATTTATAAATATCAAAATAATAATAATGAACCCAAGCGACAGCCAACCTCCTCAGACACGCGCTTCGCGACGGATATGGCGGCGACTCTTCGTGGTTGGGTGCAGCCGATTTTTCTGGAGAGCGAATAGCCGGCCTCCATCATATATTGTGTCATTTGCGTCGTTTTTCCTTAATAAAAAGTTTCAACTAAATAAACTTTGTTTTTAAAAGCTAAACAAAAGTTTATTGATTACCTTATTTCGTTATTGTTTATAATGTATGCATGTATTATTTTTAGTCACAAAAACCCATTATTATGATATTAAAAATAGTAAATAATAATATTATAACGAAAAAATAAGAATAAATAATAATATACCGGAACCCGTTTCACCAATAACAACCAAAACTTGATTTTCATCGACGGCTTGAAGAAGTTTTTCCCGTAAAGTAAAAATAGGGAGCGACTGGCGTTGTTCTAATATACTTAAACTTGTTATTTTCCCGTAACTCATTGTTTTATCCCCTAAAAAGTCGGAAATAATAATAAATAAATAAGAAAAGTGAAAATAAATAAATTTATACAATAAATTAGTATCGTCGTTATATATAATATATATAAGATATATATAAGATTGTATATGATTACTATAAAAAAAGTTATAAACACGTGGAAATAGTAAATTACAAAAATTCACCAAAAAACAATAATAATAATGATAATAATTATGAGTTACCATGTGCCGCTTTTTTCCACGCGGGCATCTCGTTGGAGCGGAATATCTGCTCTTTGGTCCCGTGAGCCAATACGCGGTCGTCGGCGGAAGCCGTGGGGTCATGCCAAGCCTTTTTTTATTACAAAAATATGCAATATTTGAAAAGTAATAAAAAAATTTTTGAACAATAACAATGATACAGACTAGCCAGTCATAAAAGCAATAATAGTGATAAACACCAATAGAAATAAAAAAAAAGTAACCTTATTAATATCTCTTTCCTTAATAGCATCCATTTCGGCGAGTTTTTGTGCTTCTCGTACTTCTCTTCTTTCTTTTGATAAAGCCGTCTAAATAAGTAAAAAAAATTCTTTTTCATAAAAATACGTACATGTATATCAAAATATATATTTTTACTATGAATTTAAAGTATTTTTTTTAATATGAAATAGAGATATCAAAAGATTGTATAGAATATCACAAATAATAATACTTAAATTCATAATAAACTATACTTGAGTCATGGCGGCATGAGCCATGTGGCCTTCACACCTCACTATTTTTACTGGAGACAAATTGATGGAAAGTTTAGTTTGGCCCGCTAAAAACGGCGGCTCTTCTTCAACGCGGATAATTTCAATATCTTCCTCGGCTTCCAGCTATATTCAATTATCATTACCATTATTATTACTGTTATTATGATTATTATTATACAAACATCTTCATCAGGATCAAAAAGTTGGTTATCCTCAACGTCCATATAATCTGGCTGTAAAACTCCAGCCGCTGTCCAATCAAAAACACGTTAAATAGCCCTAACCCAATCAAAGTATTGAAGTGGCCTACATCGAAGCTGTTTAAGAACCCATTCTTCATTATCAGTGCGCCTTTTTCGACCAGATTTGGCGTCTTTTAGCTTAAAACCTTCCGGAAGAGTAGAAATTCCGGTAAAAAAGCTACCAAAATCTGAAAGAAAAATCATAACAACACGTGAGTGTTACGACCCCAAAGAACGTGCGTTTCATTAATTATCATGCAACTAAAAAAAAAACTTTTTGCTCTGACTGAAGATGGAGCTGTAGGATTGGTCGATGCATCGTTAAAATTTTCAGAAGGAAAAACACTCAAATCTTCTCCTATTGGGTTAATAATAATCATATAAAAATAAATGATGATAACAAAAATAGTCATAATAATAAGTATTAACAACAATAATAAAAGTAAAATAATAATGATAATAAAAATAGTTTAATAAGTTTGCCGGTGTTTTGGTCAACGTCCTTCATCGATAAAGAAACTTTTCCACCAGATATATTTATAACCTTAAGCAAAACAGATGTGAAATAATAATTATATTATACTAATGAATGTAGAGTATAATAATGATAATGAATATAATTCAAGTTAAACACGTAATTGCGTATAAAATATAGTAGAGGTTATAAAAAAAAAACTTTTTTTTATATAAAAAACTTTAAACCCTAAATGTATATAAAAAATTAAAAGATTAAAAAGTTTGTGACAATATTTTAAATAATAATTATAACTAGTCATAAATAATGAGCAATAAGTAAGTATAATATAAAAAGAAAAGTAAAATGTATAATAACTAAGCTATATTATAATTTTTAGTAAAACTTTACAAAATAATAATTATAAGAGTATTAAATAATAATAAGTAAAAATATTTATATCTGCTTTATTAACTTTAATACTTAATAAAAGCTTATATAAAAAATTATAACTTCTATAAATAAATAAAAAAAAAAACGAAGAATATAATAATTATTATAAGCAGAAATCTAAATATAATAAAGAACGTTTACACATTTTTTTTATTCTAATAAATAGTAGGATATAATATACACGTGGTCATAAGCTCTCCACGTGCAACTCGCGCCCAACACGTGAAAATTTATCAACTTTTTACAATAAAGGAAATTAGATTAAAAATATTTACTTTAACTTTCACGCGCTGGGAAATTTCTAGAACGGAGTGAATATTCATAATACGTTCCTAATAAAAATTAAATTAGAATAAATTTTAGTAAACTATTAAACTTTATATGTATTATTAATAATATAGAAATACTTTAATAAAAATATTATTATAACTTGCTCACAAAATTTTAAAAGTGGTAAAGGCGGATAGAATTGAGAAAAAAAAAGCAAATCAATAAAAATTAAAGAAATTTCAAATAAAAAAATAAGCATAAGCATAAGTAATAAAAAAAGTCATAAAAACTTAAAAATATTAATAGGTAATAGGAAAAATAAAAATAAACATAAAATGTAATCCCTTCTGACGAAAAAAAAACCAAAATGCAAATCATATAAAAATTCAAAAAAAGAAACCTAAAAAAAATATAAAGAAATGTAAAGAAAACTTAGAGGTTATAAATTAATACAAAAATCATTTTTTTATAAAAAAAGTAAATTAACAAAAAAATAACTTTCAAATGAAAGACTTTCAAAAGAAAAGTTAAATTAAACATGAATAACTAAAAATAATAAGATATAACGGCTCTATAAAAAAATATTTAAGATTACAAAATTCTATATATTTAGAATGATAAAAAATTAAAACCAAATGATTATAAATTATTTAAACCTGATTTCGAATGGCTGAAATATGAACCAAACCTTCTCGCCTACCTTCAACATTTTCAAGAAGGACGAACGCGCCAAACTCTTTAATATTAGTAATCTAAAATAAATTAATAATTAAAAATTAAACAAAATTTTAAATAATATTTCTCTTTTTAGGAAAAGTTAATAAAAACTTAAATACAAATATCAAAAACTACATTCATTAATGATAAATAATGCAGATATAGTGAAAATTAAAATTTTTTTTTACAATCCTTTAAGGTTTTTAAAATAAAATAACGTTAAACAATAGCTTCCTAAATTTTATTAGTACGAATAAACGAACAGTTATAGAAAAAATTAGTCTATAGTGGGATACCAGATTCAGTGTTACATTCATTTAAATTTTAATTATAATTCAACAATTATTAATTTGTTTTATAATTTAAATAATATAATTTATAAAATAATAATTTTAATAATAATTTATAAAAAAAATAGGTGTAAATTTGACAATTTCCATAAATAAAAAAGAAGTGAAAATCTAAAATTGCTTTACATAAATTTTGTTCTCGAAAATATAGAAATTTTTTATTATTATTAAAGTAAGAAGTGTACAAAATAGTTTTTGTTTTACATTACTAACAAAATTATTAAAAATAATTTTCAAAATTAAATTTTATTGAATAATATATGTAGACAATCTTAATTACATAAGAAATAAAAAAAAGTTAGTTAATTCTTTTTAGTATGTAAATATACATTCCTTATAGTAAGAATAAAAAGTAAAAAAGGTTTAAATTTATAAAATTAAATAAAAATAATTGTATATTCAATATATAATAAGAAAAATATGCAATTTAAAAACCTTTAAAATAATTTAAAAATTTTAACAAAGTATTACAAAATTAAAACAAACTCGCCATAATAGTAATGTAAAAGTAAAGAATAAGCATTTTAAAATTAATAAATGGAGATCTAAAGTAAAAGAAGAATATATATCAAGATATGAAAACCTTTCCGTTGTAAATTTTTCCAACGACGGGTTCGCGATCAAGAGAGATGCTCCGTCCAAACGAATCTTTTCTATAATTTCTCCTGCGGCTTCTTTCTCGGCTTTTATCGCGCCGAGAAGACCGCCTTCCTCTGCTTCTACTTCTGCTCTTTTTTTTATTTCTTTCATAATCCCGTCCTCTTAATAAATTTAAAAAACAAAACTATTTACTTCAAAAGGTTTGAAATATTATTGATACTACTAAAACTATTCCCTTTTTTTTCTCGGTTCAATATGTTACCTCCTGCTATTACTTCTATTTCTTCGTCTATCTTCTTTTCTCTTTTTTGGCTCCTCAGCAAAACTTTGGGTCGATAAAGCCGAAAGTTGATCCATTGCAGATGCAGCCGCTCTTTCATTCTCTTTTTGCTTATAAAAGGATACAAGTTAAATATAGAAAAATATAAAAATCAGTTACAATTTCCAAAGGAATAGGTTGTGCATCAGCAATAGCCAGCCCGGGATACAGTATTTTACGCCTCTCTATATCATCTTCTTTCTTCTCAACTTCTGAAATTATTGGTTCCTAAATAAGAATAGGTAAAACGATTTCAACGAAAAGTTTATGAAAACACTAACGGTGGGCCTTAAAGCTTTAAACAAACGCCAAACGCTTGCAGAAAAAGTATCGCTAAATTCAGCGCCATTTTCCTTTAGTCTTTCGTGAAATTCAGAGTGGGTATTGCAGCTTTCAGCAAGTGATATAATAAACTCAGCTATATACATAAAAATAAAGCAATAAAAAAAATTGTATAATTAAAAAAAACCAAAGTAATAACCAGCAACTTTATCACTGTAGCCCAAATGATTTTCTAATTCAGTACAGATTTTAGAAATCAACTGCAAATTTTCTAACTCTGACAAGGTGGAATTCATTTCACATCTATTATAAAAATATAAAAGCCAAAACTATGATGTTAAGATGTAAAATTTTTTTAAAAAGTTTAGGAATTATTAAGGAATTCTTAAGCACAAAACCATGAACTTGCCTCCTCCAATCACGTGGCCCTCGGTAAAGGCTGATCACAAAGCCTTTAAACGACATAATAGAGAAACCTTGATTTTTTTTGTTGTACACATATTTTATGCATTAGCAAAAACAAGATTTGGTTTTAACAGTTTTTTAAGCTTGTATAATCATTTACTATTTTTCACAGCTTATTAATACTATAAGTTTATTCTGTTTTATATATATTAACCAACATCCAGCTATTATAGGCGTAATCATATACTTTTAAAAGTAACTATTTAAAAGCCTAAAAACTTTATAAACCGGAAATTATATTATAAAAAACTCTTTTAACTATTTATAACACTAATTTCTGCAAGTTTTTATAGCTTTAAACGTGAAAGCTAAAGACGTAACCACTTTGCTTATATTTGAAAAGACCTTTACTACCCGAAACTATTGAAATCTTATTATAATAAGTAATTTTTTTTAATTCTCCCTGAGCTTTACAATACTTCAGTATAGTTTCTTATATTATTTAAGTTTATTAAAGGCCCCAATCACTGGATTATTATGTAGTTTTTATCAAACTGTTAGACCGTTGCACTTTGCTTTTTACATATATATATATATATTGTTGGTTTTAAAAAATTTTGAGGTGCACAACCCTTTTTTACCTGTTTAAACCAAAATAAGTTTTATTAGGGATACATTCTTTTACTGAAACCGAATGGGGGAATTTTGGAAATAAGTTTATTTGCTAGTTTCAATTTATGTGCCCAGATAGTTATAGCTCTTACTTTACTACTAGCAATACTTAAAATCAATATTTATAGCTTATAGGAACTATTTTATTGATCCATTGTGTTAAAAATATTAGTTACTTGCGAAATTTTTTAAGCTAGTTATAGATATTAAGAAAAACTAAGAAAATAAACTGATTTTTCTTATTACTGGTGACTTGCAAATATATAATTAAGTTTTTTTATAATAAATAATTATGGTGAAGAAGTCATTAGTTTTACTGTGTTTATTGGCGTATGATGATAATACGCTGCAGTCGCTCGTTTACAGCTAAGAGTCGAACCTTTGTTTCAGCCTTCAGCAGTTAAAGTATGTTGAACAGTTTATATATATTACTTTCATCAGGTGAAATCCTTCTTGAAAAACATTTTCAAAAAGTTATACCTTCCACTGTTTGTGGACCTCTCTTAGAATTTTTGCGAGTAGGTCACTATCTAGATTTGATCTTAAAAAACAGTTTTCATTAACTTTTATATTATAACCCTTTTTAAAAGATTCCGATTTGAATAACATTCCTTTAATTCTTACGTCCTCAAAATATTTTTTATTTCCTGTTTCATGGTGCGAACTTTTGTTTGTGGGGGTGGCTGAAGAAGAAAGTAAATCTGCACTTATAAATATTAACTTGTAAATATTAGTCTTTTCAACAATATAGCTTCCCCCCTTTTTGTGTATGAATTTCTTCATAAGTGTGTGGATCTTATATGCGATTATTTTGGAAAATGTGAACCCAATATTATTTCTAATAATTTATTAGTTATTTATGAGGTTATTATATATAAAAATTAACTTCCTTCAATTTTTTAAAGCTATGTCAACGTAGATTTTAGGAGAGATGATGGATTTTGGCTTTCCATTTTGTACTGAAGGCAACATTTTAAAGGAAATCGTAAAACCCCCTTCTTTAGTTCGAGAAGCTTTAAATATATTTATCGGCTCAGAAAATAAGTTACTATTATTATTAAAAATATGAAATTCCCTTTTTTAAAATTAATTATAAAAAACCAAAAGTTAATTTTTTTATAACTTTAGTGCTTATTTCTTTTAACAAAGTCATCGAAAACACTAAAGTTTTTATTTAAAAGAAATCTAATTCATTATAATAACATTAAGAATTTTTTGTTTTATAAAAAAATTTTTCATTTTTTTTTTTTTAAAAAAATATGTGGCTGGTCTTTTTGAACAATATTTAATATTAGAAAAAAAATTTTAAAAAATTTATTAGATAATTTCAAATGTTATAATATATATTATAGCTGATGAATTTTTTTAGTTCGGATTTTAACTCTCTTATATTAAAAACTTTATTTATTTTCTAAAAAAAAAATTTATTAAAAACTTTTTTGAAAACTTTTTTTCATGTAAAGGGCAAGTGAACCCCCCAATAGGCGTCATCTAAATATTCCTTGGAGAAAAGCTCGAGTGTGGCACTCGACAAACGATCTTTACGTGGACATCATTGAAAAGGTATTCATGATAATTATTGTTATTATAATATACATAAATAATTTTTAAAAACATATAAATATTAATAGTATTTATATATAAGTAACATTTACATTTGTAGAAAAATAATAAATATATATATAATAAATTTTACTTTAAAGTAAAACTTATTTTAATAACATATAAATAGCTTTTGTTAAATAAATAGAATAAAAATTAAATATATATTATGTAAATTTTACAAATTAAAAGTTTATATAACTTTTACATTATAATAATAATAGTATTATTATATAAAAAGTTTAATTTTAAATTAATTATATTTTTTTAGCTTTACTGCATTTTTGATAGGAATAACGACCTTAAAACTAGTAAAGTTTGTGGAGAAGTTTTTGTTAATGCAAAGTTATCAGTTTGGTTTTTAGTCATTGAAATTTGGTTGCGTTAATTTTTTTTTAATTTTATTTAATTTAAGGGAGTACCCGAAATTTTTCTTTCCTTTAAAAATTCCGGCCTTTTTCACAGTTTGGCCTTCCATCCTTGCGTTCGTCTTAAGAAATGGGAAAAAGTTTAGTTTACTAATATTTCTTTAATAAATAGTTTATAAGTCGTGGAAGCTTTCATACTAATTTTGTATGTAATTTTTAGTTTATTTTTATATATTAAATTTTTTTTTTTCATATTTTTATAAGATCTGTTTTATTTCATAAAAAATAAAGATTTATATTATTTTACCAAATATAATATAAGCTTTTTTTAAACTTTATTATTTTTTGTTTAATTTTAATTTTTTTGGTGTTTTTATGGTTATATTTTTTTTAATTATTTGATTATATAATTTTTATAAGAATCGCGTATTATCTTTTATTCCACCGGAAGGAAAGTTTGCTCTAATGGAATACTCTGTTGAAAAAGATAAGGTATTTTAAATTTTTTTTGATTTTTGATCTGCATTTTTTTTTAAAAAATTTACGCGTTACAATCTAAATCCTTAAAAAAAAATTAAATATTTTTAAATTTACATATATTATTAACTAAAAAACATAAACATGTTTCTTTATAGTTTCCATTACCTCTGCAAATCTCTCATTCGTGGAAATCACAGGGTGACAGCCTTCATTTGAAAGTTGACGTTATGCGGAGCCATATCGTTCCCCCAGAAAAAGTATTATTATTACTATTACTATTATTACTATTATTATTATTATTATTATTATTATTATTATTATTATTATTATTATTATTGTTATTGTTGTTGTTGTTGTCGTTATTATTATTTTTGTTATTATATAACTTAGAACTGTAATGAAGTAATCTTTACTATTTTCTTCCCTTCATCTATAGAAATTGTGGATGTTAAAGCTACACATGGCTTATATGCGTTTGATCCGGTAACTATTCTTATTTATATATTTATTATTCTTATTTTACTATCTATTTTTTATTTTAACTATTATTTCTAATTATTATACTCGTAAATTATTTTACTCTTTTAATATTAGTTTATATCAATTATTATACTTCTTTATACTATTTTATATACAATTTTTTATATAATTTGATATAATATTTATTTATTCGTATAATTTAAGTTGGGGGTTTACTACGTGATATATCATTATAGTTTTTATTATTATATTATTTATTATATTGTATATAAGAATTTTTAATTATTTGTATTATTTATGAATACTTTATATATTTCTCTTCATGTTAATATCTTTATACCAAATTTTTTTAGTATTTATATATTTATTTCTAATTTCTATTTTTTTAATATATTATTTATTTATATACTTTACTTCAGCTGCTTCATAATATTAATTGGGAAATTGGAACAGTTTCTACAGCAAAGATGGCTACTATGATAGCTTATTTTTCAAATCTTGTATATTTACTTCATATTATATATGTACTATTATTATTAATAACTTTACAGGATAAAGAAACTCCCTTATCTTTTAATACTTCCATTAAAGTTCAGTTTAGCATTTCGTCGTATACTTTTTCCGGAATTCAGGTAAAAAAAAAATTCTTGTATCTTTATAAATTTTAAAATAATATTACTATTTTTAAGTCCTTTTTAATGAGGGTGTATTAGTTTATTATTATTATTCTTATTAGTCTTTTTTAGTCTTTATTATTAATGAAAAGTAATTTGGCTTAAATTGTTTTTAAGAATACTTCTCATGGTAACTTATTCTTTTTTTAAATTTTTATTATTAAAAAATTTTTTAGTAAAAATTGTTTAATCGAAAAAAATGCTAACTTTCATTATATATTAATATCATTCAAGTATTAATTTACTTTTGATCCTTATAAATTTTTTTATACAAAAGTAGATTTTTATATTACACATTATTTTCTACTATTTATAAATTTTTTACTGTAGACTTATTTTCTTTTCATAGTAAATTTTTTTAGTACACACACTTTTAATAAATTAATATTTTTTTTTTAAAATTATCAGGTAGATTATCAGTTTTTTTTTAAAAAATCTAGTGTTAATAAAAATATGTTATTAAAGAAATTTAAATTCATACTTTTTTAATTTAAATTTAAAATAAGTTTTTTCCTTATACTTTTAGTAAAGTTTTTTTTGTAAAATAACAAGTTGAGCAATAAAAAACTACAATAACGTGAATTTTTTCAGTACACTTTACATGTGTAATGTAAAAAAAGTACTACAAAAAAAAAAAATTAAGTATATATTTAATTTGCGTATTTTACTGTCTTAAGAGGAATATATTATTAAAAAATTATTAAATTCATCTTTTATGCTTTATAATTTATTAAAACGTTAAAAGTACAAAATAATTTCTTATTTAGATTTAAATTGTATTCTATTAAAAAAAAATTTTTTTCAAACGTTCTGCGAAATTTACTAATTTTGTTTAAATTTTAATTAAAAAAGAAAATTATAAAAAATATCATTAATATTAAATAAATAATATTTTGGAAATTTTATTGAAAATAAAGACAATTTTATTCTTTTATTATTTTAAATACTATAGAAGTTAACTTTGATAAATCACGTGTTATACCATGTGTCATTATACCCCGGTGACCTTACCACGTGCCTTTTCACGTGCTTGTACCATGTACTCTTATTATATGACTATCATGTGTCATCGCACTGAATATATTAAACTATAAAATTTATGAAATTTACTTAAAAATTCATATTTTTATAAGAATTTAATTTTGTAAACTATTTAATATAATTTTTAACTTTTATTGGTTTGCGTTAAATCAAATTTTATATTATACGATTTTTTTTAGAAATCTTTTTTATACTTTTATTTTTACCTTAAAAAAAATATCTTTATGACTAATAAAATATTATTCTACTATGGAAGCCTTTTTAAATCAGATTACGATATTTACATATTGAAAGAAACTTTCATTTTTTTTTTAAAATATATATAATTTTAATGAATAATTTTACTATTTTGGCTAAACTTTATTATAATTGAACTCTTAATTTAAATTATCACATAACGCAAATTTTATTATTTCTGTAATTTTAAACAATAAACTTTATATTTTCCTATAAACCTTATTTTATACTTTTTAATTTTTCTTTTAAGATTATGCGGGAGGAAATATTATCTTTCATAAATACGTTAAAGGTTTTAATATAAAGTTGATAAATTAAATAATAAATATTATATAAACGCTCAACAAATTTTTATTATAATAATTTTGGATTCAAAAGATTTTATTACCAAATTTATAAACTCAGTAATAAATACTTTAAAGTTTAGAAGAATAAATTTCATTAATTATTATAGTTTTTTCTTATACTTTTTAACTTTTTTATTATAGTTATAAAATATTTTAACTATAATTTTTATTTTGTATAAAAAATTTTTACTTAAATTTTATAAAAAAAATTAATTTCTAATTTGATTTTAGATTGAGAAGTTAAACATATTAAAAGAATCTTATTCCGCCCTAAAAGGAGTAAAGTACACTGCAAAAAGCGGAAACGTTGAATTTCGAATTCAGAGCACTTAATATTTTCAAAATAAAATTTAAAAATTTCTATACTATTAAATTTTTTATTTTAATTCAATTTTTAGTAAAATGAAATTGCAGAATTTTCCATTTAAATCTTCAAATGTGTTTTAAAATTTTAATATTAATTTCTATTGAAAAATCTTTAAAATTTATTTTTTAACTTTTACTTTGATTAACATTTTCTTGAAATTTTCCAATTTCTAGAGTGTAAAGATGGCAGTATAAAACAGTATTTTAAACTAAATAAATTCACAGAAATTATTTTTAAGAACACACTTTTTAAATCTCATTAATTTTTTATTTTATGTTTATTATTTTATATTTGATATATATTTATTGTTGTCGTTATCATTTATAATAATAATTTACTTTTTATTTATTTACTTATTATATTTAAGTATTTAGCTTGATATATTTTAGTATTATCCGCTCAAAATAAGTTCAATCTTCACACTGTGTAAAACTGTAGCGTCCATTAGAAAGCAAGAGTTTTGATTTAAAGTAGGCAGCACCCGCTTTAGTGAATAATGATACGAAGCACGTGCATAGTCACGTGGTACATCAGCAGGTGAACATGTGGTTTGAACACACGACTTATCAGAACTTTAATACTCTTATGTTTAGCATTTGCGGATCAAAAGTTGGCATTTCTCTTTATCAATTACTGAGTCGACAATCAAAAGGGCTGTGAATCGCCTTATTTTAATTTTCTATTAACTAAATTTAAATTACCTGTGTACAATTTTGTCGAGTTTGTATTAATAACTTTTTTTAGTACAACTTTATTTCATTTCTATTAGTTAAATTTTAATTTAAAAGATTAAATAAAATAGGAAATGTTATAATCTTCAAATCAAGTTTTAATAGATTAATTAATTAACCGTTAAAATATGTTAATTTTTACATTTAAAATTTATTAACAAAATAAATATTATATTATAAAATATAAATTAACCGCTATTATTTTAAACTTAATAAAATTGTTTAATATCGTGTTAAGTTTTTGAGTAAAATTTTTATGTACACAATTAATAAAATTTTCTTTTTCTAAACAAATTTAACTTATTGGTTACCGTATTACTATTAAAATTAAACTTTTTAAATTAAATATAATATAAAATTAATTCTATATAAAAAAGTAAGTAGTTGTCGGTAACAATTTATTTAATGATTGTTTTAAAGCCGTCTGATCAACTCGGATATTATTAAAAATATTAAAGTGCTTCCCTTATAAAAGACTTAGAAAATCAATTTGAAAAGTTCATCTTCGCGTGGTATTAAAAAATCGCAGTTATAAAAAATGCAATAAAAATTTAAACGAAAAAATCGTATTTAAAAATTTTAAAAGTTAATTAGAAATAAATAAAAATTATATACTCAGTTATAGTAATAAATATACTAATAAATTTATTTACATTATTTTTGCACTTTCTATTTTATAATAATTATTTAAGAAAATTTATATAAAGTGATATTGGATTTCTAAATTTAAATAGAAAATAAACTTTTTTAGCTATCTTACGATATTTATTAGTAAAAAAATTATTCTAGAATTTTTTTTAAAATTCTCTTAAACCTTAAAACATCAAATTTAAAAGATTAAAAAAAAAGCTTGCAGAGACCTTTCGGTCGTTGTTGGTGTTAAACTATTCTGCGTTTTTTTAAAAAAATTAATTTGCAAATTAATTTTTTATAATTTCTCTAATTCTGTGATATTTAAACTAGGTTGTGTATTCTCAAGAAAAAATTCAGTAAAAAGTTTTTGGCACTTCTTTTAAATCTCTTTAAAGCGGTTATAATCAAAAAAAAAATAGTTACGGAAGACTTTTATGTTAAAGCATGAATGGAAACAAATATGAAATTATTTATATTTAGCGTTCTTATTAAAATTTATTTTGGAAAAAAAAATTGGTTTTTTAAGGAATTTCTAACTTTAGTATTACTGTTTACTATTTTATGCAACCTAAAGAAAATTTTGGATAATTTTTTTTAATTCTCTTAAACTCTTTTCTTAACAGCTTTAAATTTAAAAATTTTTTTAATGTGGACTACACTAAAAATAAATTAATCAATTAACGTTTTTTTTTACTTTACAAATTTCGCTGAAGAGAGTTATCAATCAATCTTTATTATAAAAACTAAATTTTAATACAGACAATTTTAATAAATTATTTAGAACACTCTTCCGCTGCTACAACGCTCTGAGTTGAACTCAACACGAAGCAGAGATCCCTTAGTTCCTGAACTGTCCGTGAATAAACTTCAGTTCTTTCTCTAGAAATCTTAAATTTTTTTAAATTTCATATCTAATAAATTATAAATGCATCCACTTAACTTTTAATAAGGAAACACGCTCTTTTATAAGGGAATCAAATAAACTTTGTGTAATATTTGGATCGACATTTAAATTATCAAAAGCGTTTGACTTTAGTAAGTATTAAAATTAGTAAAAAAAAATATATGTATAAATTTCAAATTACACTTAAAAAATGAGTTTTTTATGGTTATTTTAAATAACTGAATAGTATTTAGTTATATTTGAGAGCAAAAGTCCTACTTTTAAATTAAAAGAAAGCAAATTTTAGCAAAAAAAAAAAAGATAAATTCTTTTAATCAACTTTATTAAAAAACTAGAATTAAAATGTACCAAAATAACTTCTTTTTCCTTCGAAATGTGATTAATTTTAAGAATGGTTTCTTTTAAATTGCCTGCGTCTTGTTCAAAAGAGTGAAAACCTTTTTCAAGCTTTGGAAATTATAACGTTATTTAAAACTTAATTTAAAATTATATACAGCCACTGTGCACTTAAAAGTTTAAATAAATAACCTGCGAACTGCCGGAGTCGAGAAATTCTTCTTTTAATTCTATTTTAATTATACACAAGCTTTTCTTACCAACTTATAATAAACTTAGAATCAATAATGATTGGGTACTTTCTGCTTTGGAAAGACAACCGAGTATTCTTGTGGCGTTAGATAATAGACTGTTTAATAAATGTAGCCCCTTTTCAGATAAAACAAGAAGCTCTTTAATATGGCTTTCACCCATCCTTTAATTAAGATAAAATCTAAAAGTAATATAAAAATTCACTTTCACTTAAACATACTTCTTTAAGGTTATCAAAATAAAGTTATGGTCTGCTGTATTGTTTAAAGGAGCTTTTTTGCACTTTGTAATTTGTTCTTAAACTTCAACTTTATTAATATACGTACACAAGAGTGGTATTGTAAGCGCTCCACTTAAAATGAGATGTTTAAATATTACTAAAGCTTCTTAATACTATTTTATAACTTGTAGAATTTAGTTACTGGTTGAGTAGTTGTGGCGCGTTGCATTAAAACGCTTTCCCGCGTTCTTCCTCCCTCGCCTTTGTTACTTACCATTACTCTGCACTCCGCGTTCAGTTTTTCTTTTTTTTTTTTTATGGTCAATCTTTAATATTATTTTTCGATGTCACAAAGTTTTTGATATGAGGTTTGAACATTTTCTTTCAAAGGTAATGCTTTTGTCGTGCTGTATATATAAAATCTTCTTTTACCGCTGGCATCACACGACTAGTACCCGTTTAAATTATTACTAGCGTATTTATTGCTTTCACGATTATTATATTATTTTTTTTAATTAAAATATTCTTATATACTTCTCTATAAACAGGAATTACCCTCTTTAAACAAATAATAATACTTTTATATTTTTACTAAAAGTTAAACACAACCATCTTATTGCCTTTGCCTCTTTTCTTGAAAGCAACTTATTTTCTAAAATTTCTCACGCTTATATGTTTATATAATGAGTGGAACCAAAATTTGAGTAATAATAACAATTCCATCTAGATAAAGTTTCATATTTATATTTCTTTTTACCAAAAAAAAGTCTTAGGTAACTTTACCTCTGTGTTAATTTAATCCCTTAAAGTTCTTTGTATTCCTTCATATTGTTTTCGTCTCGGTTATATGCTAAATGCTACATAAAATAATTTTTTTCAGTGTGTTTTATAGTTTGTAAAGCAAAGATTATTTATTGTCTCGAATATAACACGATCGTAAAAGGCTGAAACAAATTTTTTTCATTTATTTTTTAATTTTAGTTAAATGTGATCAGTGCAGTCACTAATATATCTTATTGTCTGTTTAATATTAATACTATCTATATATTATGTACCGAACATAATTATGTTGCACTTTTAAATACTATTAATTCCTAGAAAAATAAGCTTTTCAAGTAATATATATAATTGTTGAATAAGTTGTTATATTATATGTGAACGTGCAAAAAACAATTTCATATGTTTTGTTCAACCTCCTAGTTAAAGTGACAAAAATTTTTTTTAATTAAAATGTTTATGCTTATAATTGGCACTTTGTGTAAAAGAAAAAGTATAAGTTTATTACCGACTTATTAGAATAATTCAAGTTATCAAAATTATTTATTAAATAAAGACTGTAAGTAACTACTGAATAGATTGCTACTTATTTATATTTGAGAGTTCTGGGCGGTCACTCATGTTACGTAGAGCAAATCTTCTACTTAACTACCCTTTAAGGAACCCGAATAATTTAAAAAATATAGTTTATTTTTTTCCAATACCTCTAAAGTTCAAGTTTTTTTAATACTAAATAGCTGCGCTCGATATAACAAAACATCTTAACACATTTATTAATGTATTAAATTTGATAATGGAAGCTCACTCCTTCGGATGAGCTGGTAGTCGGGATAGGTCTCCACTGGGTGTGTTACCGGCGGGCCGGATACGCTCTTCTACCTCCAATAATTACACTTCTTTAATAATCACTCGACTTATCGGGCGTATGTAAAGCTACTCATTAAAATATAAATCTTTTGCACCTTTTTTTTTACGTTTTTTCCTACATCATCTTTTGAGTTTCAGCCAACCAACTTCTTTGTGTACTGTAGTTCCGCTTAACATTACTTTCTAAATTTAGCAAACATGTGATTGCATTTTATTTCATATTAATAAAGTTGTGTTATACGCTCGCTTCCCACTAATATTTTCCTTCATTATACCTTTAGACTTATGCTTATATGCACATATAGGTTGATATTAGTTTATTAAAGCAAAATTGTTCTTCAACTTCCTGCTAAAAGTTGTATAATGGAAAGTTTTATGAGGACACTGAAAAGGCCGCTGTCATTGTTGAAGTTATTCAAGTGATTGATAAATATAAAACGCTCTGCCGCTGAGAAATAAACCATTACTGCACACTTATACTTATATAAAGGCTATAGTAATAATAAAAATAATAATAAATTTTCAGTACAACTTTTATTTTATTAACAAAAATTTAAATTATTCCATTTCTTTATCACTACCCATTCTTTCCGCAATGTTTATAATAAAAGCGATAGTACAAGTGTCCGAGCGATTCTATATTCCTTTATAGTATAAAAAGTTAAGTAATTTTTTTAAGTTTTTTATATGACAAGTTAAAATTAATATAATTATAATTGGTAATAATCAATAAAGTATTAACAATTGAGCAAGACGGTAAAGTTATAAATACATATAAACTTTAACAATATAAATAAAAACAAACTATTATTGGAATACAATAAAATTTATAATAAGATAATATAAAAATAATATGTAAAACTTAAAATTTTGGATAAAAGTTTTTAAAAAGTTCTAAAAAAATTGTTAAGCTATATGTTATTTGATTGGCTTAAAAAGAAACTTACTCTTAATAAAGGAATTTTCATTTGTTAAAAATTGTAATACGAAATGAAAAGTTTTATGACTAATAAAAAAAGCCCGTGGAGTAAAAAAGTTTTTTTATTGGTGAAAATGCTCTAAATAGCCTTATTATTAATACATTTAAGCGTTTTTTTGCTTAAAAGTTTATTCTTTCCACCTACTGAAGTAAAATAGAAAAGAAAAACCGGCAAAACTTTATTATAATAAAAATATAATAAAATGGAAAAAAACATTCATTATAATGTAATCCCGGAAAAAAATAATAAAAATAATGATGATAACATTTGTAATTATAATAAATATGTAAATTTAAAAAAAAGACCTTAGAAACAAGCTTTTTATATCAGAAAGATAAGATGACATATTCAAATTATCAAAGGAACGCTTGTATGCCCCATTCTAATAATAATAATAAAAAGAAATAATAATCGTCATAATAGTATTTATAATGAATAGTAACAATAAAGAGTTAATAATTAACATTAACCAAATAAACAAATTGGGATGGGATTGGAGGAAAGTCACATAGGAATCTCCATATGATCAATAAACAAAACTCTACTTCATTGGCTGGAAGATTCGAGAAAAGTTCATAAAGATACCGTAATGGGTCGGGAAGCCAGCAGGCCTTTATGTAAATAATAATAATAAATTATAAAGAAAAATAATAATAATAAAATTAATATTTATATTAGTATATCAGTAAATATAATAAACCCTTAAAAATATAGCTGATAGCTTTTCAGTTCTTATTAATAAATCGCTATTGTCATTGGTCAGTGAATTTATTTGCAGGTGCCATTCACCAATCAACTTATAGATAAAATATAAAAGCGTTTAATGCTTTTTATATTTTATATATATTGTTCATGAAACTTAATGGAAAAAATGTAGAAGTATGCTTACAGTAGCTAGCAGAGATTGCAGTTCATTATAAAAAGAGCAGAGAAGACGAGGATCTGCATAATTTCCATACAGTGTAATATATAAAAAAATATTAAAAAAGGCAAAAAAAACTCGAGACTAACGAGAATATAGTGAAGTTTATAATATAAATTAGTAAATGTTTTATTATTATAAATATGGTTATATTACTATTAATACTGGCATTTTTATTTTCTTATTTATCTAAAAGTTTTTAAAGCAACGCGTCGTCAGGCGCTTATAGCACATGGAATTCTCCTTATTTGCTAATATTCGCACTAAATGAATAAAATTCTAAAAGTGAAAAGAAACGCCTCACTTTTAACTTATTCATTGGCTCTTGAAAGCGTAAAAAGTTGTAAATATTTAATAATGTAGCAAATAAGGAAAAAAAATAGAAGAAAAGCAAAGTTTTAATTTTTCTGAAACTTTTTAATAATAAACATTTCTACTTTTTCATTAGTCCATGAAGCGTTAAAGAGTTTGAAATATTTTGTAATGAAAGCGAAGTTTTTAATGACTTTTGAACTTTTTGAAATAATGGTTATTATAAAGATATTATTATTATTATTATAAATTTTTATATGCATTCTAAAAAGTAATGAAGATAAAAATATTACAACTAAAATGGAAAATCGAAAAATATTTATTTTCGTGAAAGAGCAAATATGCACGTGACTCACACATGGGGACAACGTGACTCATGCCCAACATTACTAAGGTTGTAAAGTTTCGTTATAATAATAAAAAAATATACCTTTAGAAAGAAAATTAAGGATAGCCCATAAACAAGGAAAATCCATAAACAGTTTCTTACAGGAAATATCACTTTTAATTATAATAATAACAATAATAAAAGTATATATAATAATTATTATTATAATATAGAGACAAACCGAGAAAAGGTTGTTGGTTTCGGAAGAATTTCATTATACTCTTTGATAGAAATAAAAGGATCCAAAATGAGAATTTCTTTGGTAAGATGTGAAGAAAGATGGGACAAAAACAGATTTTCTTTATAAGAAAAATAATAATTGTTAAACAAATTAAATAAAAAATGAAAAAAGCGAGTTTCTTGCCATCAACGCAGCACGTAAATAAAAGTCGATTTACAATAGTTTCATTAAAGTTTATGCTTTAATAATAAAAAAAAGGAATTATTATTATTTTAAGTAAAATACTTTAAAGTATAATATAATAATAATAATATACACCAAAAATCAGAAGCAGTTTTGTAATGTGACGGAAATGAACTGCCAATTTCCATGCGCTTTCCAGACCCAATATAACCTAAAACAGTAAATAAACACTTACGTAATCATTATAATTAATTTGCAGCAAAAAATTTCCTAATATAGATAATTAGATTTATAATAATTGGATACGTTCGCAGCTAATGAGGACTGCAGTTAAAGATTGCCCCATCACCATTTATTGATATAAAAATGTGCTAAGGCACGCGTTAGTCGATATAGTAGACCCGACACATGTCTAGCTTATACTTTCATTATTAATATTATTACTATAATTATTACTATTATTAGTATTGGAATTAGTATTAGTATTACACTAATGAAAGTATATAATAATTTCATAAAAGTTAAAAAAATAAAGATTTTACGCGTAAAAAATAGTGAACGTAAAAAGAACCATTAAGCAAACAGCTGATATATACATTACCAATTAGGCATAATCGGCTGCAATGTAAAAGAGATTTTTTACACTTTTTATAGTGAAAAACTCTTTTTAGAGAAAATATTATAAAGCTATACGAAAGCCAAAATTATTTATTCGAGAAACTCGTATGAATACCAAAAAAAAAAAGCACATGGACTTCACAAACGTTACTCGTTTGTGGCCAATTATAAAGTTGGTTCCCCTAAGTGCCAAACCCGCCAGCGGAAAACAAATATTACACTGTTACTTAAAATAATATAGTCCAATATAACTGTAGAATTAAGTCTTCACCAATGGTTGCTATTGTTTAGTCTTAAAAAACAACTCTAATTAGTGTTCGACGTTACAAACGGGCAATGGGTCAAGTAACTTTTCTTTTGTAATAAAGAAGTTTTTCTATTAATATATTTTTTTTACCGTAAAAGCGTTTAGATGAAAGTTTTTAACTACATTAAAAAAGATGAGCTTCATTAACTAATTATTTTCTCGAAAAGAAACTAGTTATGGTGTACTGGAAAAAAAGAGAATTATTTTAATGTTAATATTATCGTTATAATGATAATGATAATAATAATAATAATAGAAGCACCAGAATAATAATGTTGGATTTTTCCTTCTTCTTCTAGTTTGCTTAACTTTGAAAGACTTTTCCAAGCACTTTTTTTTATTTCTATTATTTTTAATATTCTCATTATTATTACTATTTATTATTATTAGTAATTATTTAATTATTATATAAGTTTATAGTATGATTTATTTTGAATTGCTCTTTTAGAATATTTATTTATAGTACATTTATGTTATCATTTGTTTAATAAAAAATTAGTACAAAATACTATAATACAATAAAAACTTTGTACCACTTTCATTAGTTTGCTTTACATTTTCAAGTAGAAAAGAACCTTTAAAAAATAAAAAGCAGCGAAAAACTAATATAGAATAATAAATAAAATATACTTTTTGTAAAAAGAGGTTTATTTTCTTTATTAAGAACTTGAAACAATATAAACGAAACAAATAAAGGCAGCAGTTCTGGCTGGTGCTCTAAAAGTCGAGCAATAAACAGAAAAATCTTTAAAAAAAAATATAAATTCTTTAATTTTGTATAAAAATAAAATAATAATAATTACTTTCGTAAGTCTTCTAAAAAGTTGACTTTTAATATCAATTTCATTCGTTGTTTGATAAAACAATTCATTAATATAATTGTTAAATGATCCACTATAAAGTTTGTTTAAAAATTTTCGAGTAACTTTCCTAAAATGGTAATAAAAATAATATAACCACTAAGAGCTCATTACTTATTTTGGTGGCATTTAAGTACATTGTGAGCTTATAAACCAAAAGGATTCAATAAAACAAAACAATAAAATACCACATGGCTTCAAAAACAAACGTAACAGTCACGTGGGCCACTTCGATGGCAGTTTCCTCGGTTAGCCAGGGAGGATGTGTCCCAAGAAGGGTCAATCCTTAATCGAGTAATGAATTTATCAAACAATAACAACAATAACACTAAATATATTTTTACAATGAAAAGAATTTATTTTAAAAAATCCAAATAACAAAAAAAATAACTTTACAATACTAAACTTTAATATTAATAAAATAATAATTAGTTATAATATTAGACAAAAAAATAATAAATATATAAAATAAAAATAATAGTTGAAGTAATATTGCAAGTTTACTGTTTTGTAGTTCTTTGAAACTCTTTTGTTGGCTTTCAGTATTATATTTTTTATTAGAATACTTATATAAGTAAAAACAAAAAGTAACATTATCTAATAAATTTTATACAATAATAATAAATTGTTATAATATAACATAAAAATATTTATAAAAATTTATATTAATAATGATATTTACTTCATATTAATATACTAAAGTTTAACGTTAAAAATTATTTAAATAAATAATAGTTTCAAATATTTTAATATTATAATTTTTTATTAACTATAAAAAATTTAATAACAATAACGAATAGTAAAAATAATAGTAGTAATAAATATTTATTATACATCACGTTGATACAAGAAAGTTTAACGTAAAAAATATAATAATTACTAATTCATTGGGAAACTTTTTGAAAATAATAATAAAGTTATAAATAATTCTCAGCATATAATATTATTATTTATTGTTAGTATATAATTCAGATGTATTAAAGTTTAAAAAAACTTATACTAACAGTATTAATAAATTAATAATATATAAATTAATATGATAAGTATTAATAAAAATGAATAGTAAAGTCAATGTATAATAAATTTGAATTATATTATAAATAATAATAATAAGAAAAAAAAGGAAATTATAATTTTATTGAGTTAATATGTAATTACTAAAAGGTTAAAGACTTTTAACAACAATAATAACAATTAAAAAAATAGAAATAGTTATTATAAAATTCATAACAAAAATTTATAAAAGTTAATAAAGCTTTTATAATAATAAAAATGATAAAGAAAAAGTAAAGAAATGAACAAAAAAAAAGTTATCAAAAAAAATTCTAATAATAATATTAAATAATTATTAATATTAATAGTAAAAAAAGATTAAATAGTTTTATTTTTTATTATAAATTATAGAAAAATTATAAATATTGTACTAATAATTAAATAAAAAGTTATAAAAAAAAGTCACAGACTTTTAATAAATACGTTAAATAGTAGCAATAAAATAATGATAATGTAGTGATTTCTTAATAAATATAAATATAAAAAAATTAAATAAATATTTTTTTTTATAAATAAAATATTATAAAAAAAAAGTAAAAAACAGTAAAAAAGTATATATAAAAGTATCGGTTTTTAAAAATATTAAAATACTTTCTGATGATAATAAATATTCTAAAAAAAAAGTTCTTAAACAATAATAATATTAAAAAAAGCTACTGAAAAATAAAAAAAATATTTTAATAATAAAAATGTTAAAATACTAAAAATAAATAATAGAAAATTTATAAAGAAAATAATACTAATAATAAAAAATATACTTCAATTATAGTAAATATTCTTAAAAATGCTATTAAATTAAAAAAAGAAAATACTTTTAAAAAAATAATAAAATACTTTATTAAAGTATATAATATTATTTAAACAGTATTAATATATATATATAAATACTTTAAAAAATAATACTTATATCATAATATTAACACAAAACTATAAAAAACACTTTTAAAGTGTATATAGTAATTAAAAAAACTTTAAAAAAGTAAATAGAAAATACTTTTATATGATATAAATATTATTAAAAACAAAAGAAGGAATTTTATTCGAAATTTTTTAATAATAATATCAATATACAATTTGAAAAATTAAAATTATAATAATAATAAGCTATAAAAAATAAAGAAAAATAGTTAATAGAATAAAAGTATTATATAAAATATTATACTTTAATAAAAATATATTTAAAACTCTATAATAAAAAAATATTTTTAAAGCAATAGTAATAAAAATAGTATTACAAATAATAATAATAATAAAAGAATACATTTAAAAAAATATATAATACTATGAATAATAATAAAAATTTAATATGAAATATCTTTAAAAAAATAATAAATACTATTAAAATTTATAAAGATACTTCCATAATAATAAAAATGAGACGACTCACTTAATAATAATAATTATAAAACCTATTAAAAGAGAAAGAAATTATTCAAATATAACATACTTTTAAAGTACCATAAAAAATATAAAAAACTTTAAAAAGATAATAAAAAAACTTCAATAATAATAAAAGGATATACTTTTATAATAATCATAATAATCACAAATAAAAAAGAAATAGCTTTTATAAAAATACTATAAATGTTAAAAAAATTTAACATTTTTAAATCTTTGGATTTGTTAGCCACTAAATAACTACAAAATTGGTAGCTAAAGAAACAAAAAGTTCGACCTTTTCTAATAAAAATTTATAATTATTACTTATTATAATATATATAAAAAAAGTTTTTAATAAAAAATATAAAATAAAATAAAAATAATTTTTTTATATAAAAATTTACTACTATTTACCATTAAGAACATTTTACTTTGCACAAAAAAAAATATATAATAAACATTTTTTTTTACATTAATTATTATTATATATAAGAATATAACAAAATTTTTCATGAAAAAAAACTTCCAACTTTTTCATAAAAAATAGAAAATAAATAAAATAATATTTATTATTATTATAAAATATATTTACATGATAATTTTACTATTATTAAATCTAATTAATATTATGAAACATTAATACTTATGAAATAATCATTTATTATTAATAAATATAATAAAACATTTATTAAAAAAATGATAAATAACTTCAAATTTTTTTAAAAAATAATAAAAAATAAAAATAGTTATTTATTATTATAGTTATATCCTTACTCTAGTTACTAGTAATTTTTCATTAAAAAAAAAATAACTATAATAAAAATACATTATAACAAGTTTTTTCATATTAAAAAAATAATAGCCTACAGCTTTTGTCATAACGATCTTTACTTAAAATATATTATTGTTATTAATATCATAATAATAAATAAGTAAAAACCTGAAGTAAAAACAAGAAAGTCAGAATGGTTTATAATAAATAATAAAAGTTTCTTCCAAAACTTATGAATCACTTTAACAGACTTTTCACTAAAAAGTTAAAAAAAATATTAAGTAAATAAGCTATATATAAAAATAAAGAAATAAAGTAGTATATTTTTTAATGGATTATAACATATGATTATATAAGAAGATTATAAAAATGTATATATATAAAACTATTATAAAGTACATTAATAAAAAGAGCATAAAATATTTGTTATAGTTAATTAATAAGAAAATAAATAATAATTTAATAAGCCCTTCAATAAAATTTTTATACACAATTATAGTAATAAAAAAAAATTTACTCTACAATAGTATATAAAAAAACTAAAGAAAGTTTATTTAATGTTATCAATGTTTATCGAAGATACGAAGATACGAAGATACAGAAAAAATTATATAAGTAATAAGTATAATTTAAAAAATAATATACATCAAAACTATATCAAAGAAATAAAAAAGTTAACCAAAGAGAATATAAAATTGGTTATCATTACGACCAAAAATTATATTTTTATTATATGATAAAAATATTCTACCTAATATAAAATAATACAGAGAATAACTATAGCAAAATATAAATATTATTAACTTTTACTTAACCAATGAAAATACGATTGTATAATAAAAATTTTATGTGCAACCAATGAAAAATTATTATATATGAATATTGAAGTTATCAATAATAAAATATATTAAAACTGTAGTAAAGTAAACTAATTGAGGTAAACAAGGAGAGTACGACAAAAAAAATTTATATTTCTATAATAATAAAAAGATTTTACTTTGTTAATGGTAATATATATAAATATAATATTAAAGTAAACGATAAAATAAACCCATAAAATATTATCAATATTTTAATTAACCAATGAGTATATGATTAAATAATAGCAATGTATGTCGACCAATAAAAACTCTTATATAGTCACAATAAAATAAAAGATAATATATATTAAAATATTATAAAGTAAAATAACAGATATTAACGATAATAAAAAGTGCATATAATACAATAAATATCAAAGTTAACCAATCAGGATATGGATAAATAATAATGTA